ATAGTATACTCCCCCGTGGATTACGAAGCGGAGGAGAAGGAGTTACGTTCGACGGACCGAATCAAAGGAGGGGTCACCGAAGAACTAGTAGTGGCCTACCTCAAGGCCAATGATGAAGAAGAAGAGAGGGTGAGGCGTCCCGACTTATGGGATTGGGACGACAAGCCAGCGGAGAGTTTCCCGGGAGACCTGGACCCTCCCGAATATATGGAGACGTTACGGAAGGTGGTACCGGAGAAGTATCACGCTTTCCTCGGAGCGTTCTCCAAGACCAAGGCCGACGAGTTGCCGGCACATAGAGACTTCGATCACTCGATCGACGTAGAGGAAGGGAAAGTACCCCCCTTCGGAAAACTCTACAACCACTCCGAAAAGGAGAGCGCCGAATTGAAGCGCTGGATCAAGGAGAACCTTGATAAAGGTTTTATCAGGGCTTCGACGTCACCCGCCGCAAGTCCCGTATTGTTTGTCCCGAAGAAGGGAGGAGAGCTCAGGCTCTGTATTGACTACCGGCGTTTGAACGCCATTACCACAAAGGATCGGACCCCGTTACCGCTGATTTCCGAGACGCTCGATAAGTTAACGACAGCGAAGGTCTATACCAAGTTGGACCTCCGAGGAGCGTACAACTTGTTACGAGTAAAGGAAGGGGACGAATGGAAGACAGCTTTCCGTACTAGATACGGACTGTTTGAGTGTCTGGTGATGCCGTTCGGGTTGACGAACGCTCCGGCGACGTTCCAAAGGTGGATGAACCATGTGTTCAGGGACCTTCTGGACGAGTCCGTCGTAGTGTACCTGGACGACATCCTCGTGTTCTCTCCCGACGAGACTACGCACGAGAGACACGTGAAGGAGGTGCTGCGAAGGCTACAAGAAAATGGGCTGTACGCCAAAGCAGAGAAGTGTGAGTTCCACACAACAGACACGGAGTTCCTTGGATACGACGTGTCCCCGGGAGGGGTAAAGATGAACCCCTCCAAGGTGTCGTCCATAGAACAATGGGCGGCGCCTCGAAACCTGAAGGGACTACAGTCGTTCCTAGGTTTCGCCAACTACTATCGGAGGTTCATCACGAACTACTCCCAGAAGATACAGGGGATGACAAAGCTCCTGAAGAAAGGAGTGCGGTTTCAATGGAACGAATCCGCAGAGACTGCGTTCGTAACGCTGAAGAAGGCGTTCACGCAGGCGCCTATACTGGCGCATTTCCAGGAAGATGCAGAGGTAACGTTGGAAACGGATGCCTCGGCCGGAGCGATTGGAGCAGTGATGTCGCAGAGAGGTTCGGACGGAAAACTCCGACCAGTAGCGTTCATGTCAAAGTCGCTAACTCCCGCAGAGCGGAACTACGACGTTCACGACAGAGAGATGCTGGCCATCATCTACGCCTGCAAGATATGGCGACACTACCTGGAGGGACCTCACCCTATTCGGATCTTTACCGATCACAAGAACCTCGAGTACTTCCGAACGGAGAAGTTACTGTCGAGGCGACAAGCAAGATGGTCTCAGCTGTTGAACAGTCTGAGCTACACCCTGGAGTACAAGCCGGGGGTGATGAACGGTAAGGCCGACGCCTTGAGTCGGAAAGAGGAGCTCCTAGAAGAGAGCGAACCAAGACAGACCGAGACGATGCTACGGCCCATGAATCTCTCGGCTACAGCGCGGGAGATTCCTCCGCATCTCCAGATCAACGGTACCCTGCCAATTCCCGGCGAGGACCTTCGGAGAGACCTGTTGCAAGGTTACGAGGCGGACGAAGTAGTCAAGGCCATCTTGGAGAAGATGGAGAGGGAGCCCAACGAGCAGGGTCCCTACAAGAAGGATGGCGAGGGGTTCCTAATCTACAAGGGACTCCTGTACGTCCCTGATGTGGAGTCGGTAAGGGTCCGACTGATGAAGTACGTTCACGACGGCAAGCTCGCGGGGCACTACGGGCGAGACAAAACGGAGGACCTCCTCTCGAGAGACTTTTATTGGCCCCGAATGAGAGATTGGGTAGGCAACTACGTGGCCTCGTGCTTGACGTGCCAGAAGAACCGCCGTCCCCGACAAAAGCCGATCGGAGAATTGGCCCCTCTACCTGCGGCGAGGAAGCCGTGGTCGTCCATCACTTGGGACCACATCACGGACCTCCCCGAGTCATTGGGCCAGGATGCAATCCTGGTAATCGTCGACCGCTTCAGTAAGCGGGCACACTTCATCCCGTGTCGAAAGGATAACAACGCCTCGTACCTGGCGAAGTTATTCTTCTCCCACTACGTCAAGTTGCACGGGTTCCCTGATCAGATCATCTCGGACAGAGGAACATTGTTCATGTCTAGCTTCTGGCGGGATGTGTGTGCTTTTGCGGGTGTCGAGAGGAGGTTCTCGACGGCATACCACCCGGAGACTGACGGACAAACGGAGAGGAGCAACTCGACGTTGGAACAGTACCTGCGGAGTTACGTGAACTTCCAGCAGGATGATTGGGCGGAGTTGTTGCCTCTGGCGGAGTTCGCCTACAACAACTCCAAGCATTCCGCCATAGGGATGTCGCCTTTCATGGCCTCCGAGGGGACTGACCACAAGTTCACCATCCGGATGGCCGAAGTGCCCAATGAAAGCGCGGATGAGTTCAGGGAGCGACTCTCGAACATCCACGAGTCGGTACTCCGGGCGTTGGAGCAAGCAAGGGTAGATATGGCGAAATACGCCAACAGAAAGAGGCGGCCCGTTCCCGATGAGGGAATGGAGGTCGGGGATCAAGTGATGTTGTCTACGGACCACATCAAGACGGTTCGTCCAAACAAGAAGTTGGACTACAAGACCCTCGGACCTTTCAAGATCACCGAGGTCGTGGGAGATGCGAAGATGGCGCGAAGGTTGGAGCTTCCCGAGCAACTGCGGCGGGTACACCCTGTGTTCCATGTCTCGATGCTGATTCCGTACAAGCGGAACGAGCTGCCCTCGCGGGAACAGGTCCCGCCTCCTCCCCCAGAGGTGGTGGATAACGGTGACACCCAGTGGGTAGTATCTGAGATTGTAGATTCGCGGAGCAGGAAGCGGGGACGTCAGACGCGTACCCAATATCTGGTGCGGTGGGAAGGTTACGAGGATGAGTATAACGAGTGGGTACATCCGGAGGACTTCCACCATGACGACCAAGCGGTGCTGGACTATCATCGACGATACCCAAACAAGCCGAAACCTGCTTTCGAGGAGTACGGTGATGCCTAGGGCGTTCGGAGCTCGCCCGTAACGGGGGGATCCTGTTATAGCGACGCGCGCGTACGCCGGACTCGAGTCGTACCAACTCCGGCGGAGTTGTTCAAGGAGCATATCGTATTGTACCACTTTGTATTAGCATTGTAGTATATAGTCTTTCATCTGTTATTACATCTATATACCCTAGTCCTACGTTCTACATTACTCCCGGATATGTCCTCGCAGGTATACATCGAGCCGGTCTTCCCTGGAGCCTTCTCGACGCCTAACAAAGTGCTGAAGAAGAACGCACAGATCCTTTGAAAGAACACGATCGTTCAAACGAGATTGGTGTGCGTAAGTGCAAAAAAGACCGCAGCAGCGTGAGATGAGATGAGAGAGAAAAAGGGATTCACGACCTGGAAATGGGCAACTCCGATACCAAAAGCGTGGTGGGTGGGAGTGCGGGGTGATCTGACTGCTGCTCTACAAGCTACAAGCTACAAGCATCGACCGGCGAAACACCCGGCCGCAAAGCCACTCGGTGAATACCCACGACAAAGAGGTCAGTCACCATGCCGAACCTTCCAAAGGCCGAGTGCCGAGGGGGTTAGTGGCGTTTATGGGCGTTAGTTACCCCCCCCCGCCTCTTCCCCTTGGCCTGTGGCTGAGTGTTGGGGTTTGTCACGGTTCGGTGGCGTTCAAGCCCCTTCCTCCCTTCCCCTCGGCGCCGAACGCGAAAAGTAGAGGGAGGGAGGGTGAGAAGATGAAGATAACGTGGTCAATTTAGAGAGTGCAACGAGGGTAGAGAGTGAGGGTGAGGGGGTGGAGGTCACACGGCACCACCCGGTTTACAGGCTACGAGGGTCACCGTGTGCAGCTCTTGTCCTTGTCCTTTACATCCTTTCGTCGCGGCTAACACACATCTACGGTACACCAATCTTTCCACCACCTCTTCTCTCTCTCTCTCTCTCACGTCCTCACCACCTACTGTACCACCTAGTCATCCGTACAGTCTACATCGCACCGAACCCTCCTCTTACCGACTCGCAACTCGCACTCGCATGCACACGACCGGCACACCAACACTATCACTTCCGTGTAGGACCCTTGGACGTCCCCGTCCCTGTATATGCCCTTCCTTTAAGGCGACATGACACTCACCATAGCATCACCTTCACCATCACCTTCACCTTCACCTTCACCTTTACCTTCACCTTTACCTTTACCTTCATCGTCAAAGGCTTTAAATTTGGAGGCACGGGTCAAGGTCGATGTCGATGGAGATGGAGATGGAGATGGATTCGAGTCGGGCGTTCGGGACTTGAATTCGAATAGGGATATGGATCGAGATGGGGATCGAGATGGGGACCTGCACTCGAATAATAGGGGTCATCAAGATGGGGACCTGAAACTAAAATCGAAATCGAAATCAACCACGACCGATCTCAATCTCGATCTCGATCTCGAGACTAAAGACCCAAACTCAAACTCAGACTCAACTGAAACCTCAGACCAAGATGAAACCTCAGACCAAGATCCCGACGAAGACGATACGGCCTGGCAGATATTCCTCAGCGCCTACGCCCGGGGAGACCATCTGAATGGGCGGTACGTGCGAGGTCCTCCTCCTTTATATCTATCGCCTTCATCATCACCTTCGTTGTCGACATCGGCATCGGCATCAAGATTGGCATTGAAGTCGACATCGACATCGGCATTGAAGTCGACATCGACATCGACATCGACATCGGAGTCAACTTTGAAACCTTCACTTGCCCATAATAGGAATACTCAATCTCATACGGACCTAGACCTTAGAGGGGAGGGTGTGGGGGTAGGAGGATCGACGACGACGACGAATACGAGGACCAGGACGAGGACGGTGTCGGTGTCGATTTCGATGGGGACCTCTCGGCCTTTCGACTCTACCTCTACCTCTACCTCAAGCCTGACTTCCCACTCAACCTCAACCTCAACCTCAATTTCGATCCCGAACCAGCCCACCCCCCGATCCGAATTCCACACCGAACTCTCCTCCTCGCTCTACTCCGCCTCCTCCACCTCCATCCCCCTCCGTACAGCGCGTCTCGTCCGCCAATTCTACACCACCCACGGGTACTTGCCTCCTCCTAGATCCCCGGAAGAAGGGGTCAGGGTGCAGTGTATCAAGGATTATGATTTGGGTAGGAGGGCGCAGATGAGGAATATACAGAAGGCGACGGAGTTGTTGGCAGGGTGTTTCTCTTCCACGTCTTCCTCTGGCTCTGGCTCTGCCTCTGGCTCTCGTGACGAAAAGGCATCTGAAGGATCTGGTGTGGTCTGTACGTTCAGCCTCTTCAAAGACGACGCCCAACACCACGTAGCCGCCGCCGGCCCCCCTTCTCTAGTCGACTCCCTAGCGCTGAGTATCGGCACCCGGGTCCCACCCCAGATCTCTTTGTGTGGGCATACGATCCTCAGCCCGAAGTCGGAAGGGGGGTTGGTTTATGTACGGGATCTTGCGGGGGATTGGAGGTTTAGCGGGAATCCTTGGGTCAAGGGGAAGAAGAAGAAGAAGGGTAATAAAGAGGAAGGAGAGGGTGATACAAGTAATAAAGAGGAGGGAGAGGGTGATCAAGAGCTCCAGGGGGGGATGAAGAGTTATATCGGGAGCGTCGTCAGGTTGAGGCCCGATCCGACTTTGCCTTTATCGTCGTCGTCATCGTCATCCGTTATCGAAGCCGACAGGAACAACGCCGACAGGAACAAAGAGGACGACACCGTCGCCATCGGAGCCCTCAACATATGTTTCCTCACCGAACCCCTCCTCACCCTCTCTTCCGATCAGACAGACATCATACGACGCATCACCGACATCCTAGAGGGACAACTCGCGCTCACTTGGCAAGCGCAACGACACGAAAAGGAGGTCCGGGCTAGACAGGCCGTCTCGGATTTCCTGGAGGAGGGGTTGGTCAGAGGGATGCGTCCCCAGCGCGAACGAGGGTCGGAAAGGGGAAGGGGTGAGAGGGTGGATCGAACTGCAGATCCTACCACTACTACTGCTACCACGTCCGACGCAGGGGACGAGGGAGGAGTGGCCACAGACAGGAACGGCGACGACGATGGGGACAAGTACGTGCACTTTCGGGCCCAAGCTCGATATGCCGTGGAAAAGATCCGGGAACAGGTGCGAGAGATCGGGTTCGTATGTATACTCGATACGAGTTCGTTCGTGTCCTTCCAGTCCCGACAGAAAGTGAGTTTCGGATGTGAAGGGGGGGTGGGATCGAGAGCAAGTTAGGTTTGGGTTTTTGGAGGGACAGGCGCCGGTGCACTATCCCACCCTGATCTCATCGTCTCGTTCGGAAACAGGCTGATCGGGGTTTCCTCCCCCTTTTTCTGCTTGCGAACCCGTTTAGACCCAGCAAGCGGACGATGACAAGACGATGATGGGCGTACTCGCTTCTTCCAGCGACGAGTCGAGCGCTGCCGCTGCGATGTCGTCGATGGATCCCACCGTCGCTCAGACGGTGAGCGATTTTCTCGACCGGCATGTCGATCACCATCACCGCGCCGATCAGACGATCTTTGTCAAGGCCATTGGGGAGGCTTCTGGGCTCGAACCGCTCTTGCCCTCGGACACGTACAGCCACCTGATCTTGCCGCTCTTTTCCGGAGGAGACGCCCTGTTCGCGGTGATCGCGTGCAGTGCGGACCCCGACTATTCGTTCAGTCGAGGCGATTCCGACTTTGTGAGGAGCATGGCGACCGTGCTCAAGGCCGTGGCCATCCAGGCCCGCGCCATCGAGGTGGAACAGAAACGTACGACGGTGATGAGTCGGTTCAGTCACGACCTGCGTACGCCGCTGCACGGGATCCTCGGATCGATCGCCCTCCTCAACTCGTCGGTGGACAGCGGAGAGCGCGAGCAGGCGGGCGAGCTCTTGACCACCCTGAACGCTGCGACGAGGGAGATGGAGAGGCTCATGAACGACATGCTCGACGAGGAATCGTCGAACCGGCTCGATCAGAGCAGGCGGGCAGAGACGAACGCGAGAGCTTGGGGAGCGGTACAGCGGGGACATCGTGATGGGCAGCACGGTCAGACCGGTTCTGCCACGTCGAGCGATTCGACATTGTCGAATTTTGACTTTGGTCAGCAGTTGCCCTTGTCGCCCGGGTCACAGCGGGCCACGACGACGGCGGCCCTGCCCTTGCCCTTGCCCCTCCTTCCCATCCCGGAGCCACTGCACCAGGCCCTCCTGTCATCCGACCCTCGGGACGCGCCAAAGGAGCCCCTATCGGTCCTGATCGTCGAGGACGAAGCGATCAGCAGAAAACTCCTGGCCATGGCCGTCAAGCGAGCGGTCAAGGGGGTCAAGATCGCGCAGGCCCGGGACGGTGTCGAAGGCTTGACGGCGTTCTGCAACTCGCACCCTCACCTCGTACTCACCGATGTCAACATGCCGATCATGGACGGCATCGTCTCTGCCAAGGCGATGAGGACGGTGGAAGCCGCGCAGGGCTGGGAACGATCGACGATCTATACCATCACGGGGCTCGGGCAGGCAGACGTCCAGAAACGACGTGATGCGTTGAACGTGACCTTGGACGGGTGGCTCGTCAAGGGACAACATCGGATGGAGGATATCCAGGCGATCGTGAGGGAAGTGAATGAGCGTCGCAAGGGACGAGGCGACCACGATCCGCAGGTCGATCTGACGAGGAGGGTGACCGGGTGAAGCAAGGTCGGGCAGGGTCTCAAGGCCACACAACCCGACGATGTGGCGATGGCTGGCGATTCGAAGCCGCACGATTTTGTTGTAACATACCATTTTGGGTTTCATGGGTTTTCCTCACTAGGCTTCTATCGATATGACTCTACAATCTGAATGCCGATCGTTCAGACTTCTGGGATGATAATCATCGGCATCGTCGCTTTTCGTGCTTTCTCGGTCATATGATCGTCTCGTGCCGCGCGTCGCGACCCTCAATTTATGATTGACGACCATGTCACCGCATCCGACACCGCCACCGCAAGTCAATCCGACCTCTCAATGCCGAATCTCTGGCCGCGGCCCCCGCTTTCCCAGCCTCTCCGAACCTCGAGAGAGCCAAGTCGAACCCTCCTCACCGTCCTCGCGTCCCTACTTTCACGTCCTGACGACCTTTCTACGCAAGAACGCCGCGTGATAGATGGCCCCCGGTTGTTGGTAGTACGGTATGCGTTCCTACACGTATCGTATTCGTATGCAAGATATTCGAGGTGTGTGGCGTTCGTGGTCAGCGTGATATGGTATAGTTCAATAGCGAATGGATAGGATAAACATGGGAAGGGATGCCGACGTATAGCACCAGGAGCGAGAAGAATAGACCAGGTCTGTCAGCCTACGATCCTACAGTCCGGGACACGAATCGACTCGAGACCAGATCAGGGTAGATTTCCCAACCCGGTGGGTATCGAAGGACCACGCGGCGCCACACCGGGCCATCATCCTCGCAGACCATCATCATCGCCATTCATCTCCACCATCGCCATCCACCATACACCATCCACCACCATCTCATAAAAAAAGAAACCCAGTCTGAGTCAAACTCACCCTAAACTCCTCATACCCTCTCCTCCTATACCACCCCAGATTCCTACTCTCCTCCCCGATCCTCTCCTTGCCCGGCTCTTTCCCACTCCCACTTCCGTTCTCCTTGCCCTCCTTCTCCTTCTCCTCGCCCGCCTTCGCGTTCGAGTTCTCCTTGCTCATATCGTCGATAACATAAGGCGTCGTATCCAAAGTCAACCACTCCGCACCATATTCCTCGATCGCCAGGTTTTCGAGGATCGTCAGGCAGAGAGAACCTAGGGAGAGGTTTTGGTAGGCGTGTGTTATGTAGAGGGAGGCTGTTTATTTCCACGAGGACGGGATGAAGCGTGGGGGGGGGGGGGGGGTCGGAAATTGGAAAAGTCGAAATTCAAGGGTGGAAATCGAGGTGTAATGTAAAAGTTCAGCCTGGACTCCCCGTGATCTCTTATAAGGAAATGTAGAGGAAGGTCCGAAAGACACAACACAGGAAGTAGCGAAACGTAACATAGAGCTGATATCTCGTCCTCGTCCTCGTCGTCCTCGTCATCACCATCATACGCGGAACGAGAAAGAAGGTGGGTAGAAACGAAAGTAGAACACGCTGACACTCACAGAGCTTGACCGTCCGACTCTCCCGATCGGCCATATACCTCTGCCCTTCTGCATGTAATACCAGGCCTCCCATACCTACGTCAAGAACCTCCTTCTCCTGTTCTCCTCCTTTCTGTCCCTTCATATTCTCGCCCATATCCTTACTCGCTACACTTTCGCTCGCTACGCTCTTGCTCGCTCCGTTCTTGCTCGCTACGCCCTCGCTCGCTCCGTTCTTGCTCGGCACGCTAAAAATCCACAACGGCGTATCCCCCTTCCCACCCTCATCCCTCAGATCCTTCTCCATCCTCTCCAACCCCCAACCGCATTCGATCCGGTACCTCCTGAGTAGATCGTAGTCGGAGAGGGTGGCTCGGCGGTATGAGATGTCGGAGAGAGTGTATGTGTAGCGGTTTGGAGATTTGGGATTTGAAACGGTTGGGGTTGGGCTCGGGGCTGGGATAGGAATAGGGGTAGGGGTAGCGTCGGTGGTCGTCATCCTTGAACAAGATCCTACGGCGGGTCTTGCTTGGTCGATCGTCGAGTTGTCTAGGAACTATCTGGACGCTCGAGTTGCTCTCGTCAAGGTCCTCGACGACGGATCGATATTGACATGCAACAACTCGAGGAGGATCCTCCTGCTGACTCGAAGACTTGACCCCTATGCTCCATCGGATCGGATCTCGGGGGATTAACAGCAGCTCGGAAGCGAATTTTACTTCCGAGAGATCGTTCGGACATGGCCGAGATGACAGATCCAGGATTCAGGATGACAGATCGTCCAGCACTCGAGGACCTCGTCGATCTGTCGAACCTGCCCTCGAGGGAGGAGTCCGGAGACGAACTTCTTCTATTGTGACATCGTGTGCCATCTCACTTCCGGGCCGACATGCGACGCACAGCTTTTCGCACAGATGCGGCCCGAATCACAAATGCCAAGCGAAGCCCGAATAGAAAGTCGATCAACCTGTTCCATTCCACGCGCCGCAAAGCCACAGGATAGGGATAGGGATAGATAACGGAGACGTGCGAAGATCGTTATCTCCCGTTTGATGTGGCTGTGGTTTGATGTTGAACGACTTTCTCCGAGGGGAAAGGAGAATATCGCAGATCTAGATCCCGCATGGCACTTAGGGAGGATGACAAATCCTGGTTCGGATCGCGGCACGGTCGATGAAACCCCGGAGGAGAGGTCGCCAAGCGAAACGAAGCTCGAAGTGAAAGCCATCAGGCGATCAGGCGGCGAACATCGTCGGATGGCGGATGGGCGATGCGTGGGTGTTCGTAGAGATAAGCATCGAATTTCTATCCGATATTCGCTAAGAATCATACCCATCAAAATGGAAATGGAATATATATAAAGACCCCCTGAACGAAATGAAGCTCGATTGACAGTTTCCTTGCCTCTTTCCTCGCCTCAAACCTCTTGAACAACCCTCTCGCGTTTGAGCATCATAATCACCCACACCTCATCACCCCCACCCATCCATAACCCTCTCATAAAACCTCATACCTCCCAAACCTGAAACACCGCCCACAGCATGTTCCCCTCCATCCCTACGCTCGTCACCGCGGCCACAGTACTGGCAAGCAGCGCTCTCGCCTCCCCTACTCCTATCCCCATCGCATCTTCCCAGGTACTATCGCTGGTCAGGAGGGATAATTGGACACCTCCAGCAGGGTTGAACGTGACTTACCAGTCCGAGTATAACGCGTGAGCTTCCTCGTTTTCCGACAAACTTTTCTTCTTCGTGCGGTACCACGACCCGGCTAAACCCATCTTCCTACCACATACCGATCCATATTCGCACCCTACTCTCTGATGTATGTAACAACACCACGCTATAGCTCGTTACCCTCGACGATGATCTTCGCCACAGGGGGGACCATCGCCGGCCGAGGTTCTTCTTCGACGGCAAGCGGGGTGTATCAGGCGGGTAGTATCGGGGTTGGGGCTTTGGTTGACGGTAGGTCTACTTTCCCCCCTCTATTTGGTCTCCGTTACATACCCCTTTCCCACCCCAAGGGGTTTCCCGCTTGGTTTCTGTTTGTTTCTCCCGTTGGAGATCCGCGCTTATCGCTTGATGGTTATGTGATTGGATTGATACAGCCGTACCCGAATTATTGAACGTCTCCAACATCTATGGGGTGCAGATCGCCAACGTCGGGAGTCCTTCTATCGTACGTCTGACATCCTACCTTACTCGCCCTTCATGCTCGCTTTCGCGATACTGTATCGTTCTCTTGAGCTCACGTATCAGACATCATGACTGTTGTCGTATTTCCTCTTATGGCGGTAATACATACACTGTCCGAGTAGAACTCTACGATCCAGCTCAACATGGCCCAGTATGCCAACAAGGTCCTCTGTGCGGAAGATAGTATCTTCGACTCGTTGGTCATCACCCACGGGACCGGTGAGTGGCCTCTCTTTAAGAGAACACCAGAAGAAGAACAATAGGCTGATGACGAAGGTGATTTGTCGCTTGGGTAGATACGTTGGAAGAGACCGCCTTCTTCAGTAAGCCCGAGTCGTAACCAAAGTTCCCAATGATTCGGAAAGCTCACCTTGCCCCTAAACCTCTTCCGTAAAATAGTGGACCTCACGGTCAACTGCCGCAAGCCCGTCATCATCGTCGGCGCCATGCGCCCCGCCACCGCCCTCTCCGCTGACGGACCCGCCAACCTCTACGCTGCTGTCAAGACCGGAGTCTTCCCTGACAGCAAGGATAGGGGAGCTTTGATCGTCATGAACGACCGGATCGGGTCGGCATTCTACACCCAGAAGACGCACGGTGAGTCGCCTTGGAAAAACCTCTGTACTGGACTGCGTCTCGCTCTGGTTTTCGTGCTAACATGGCCTTTCGCTCTCGCAGTCAACTACCTGGACACTTTCAAGGCCCCCGAACCGGGCTACCTCGGCGGACTGTTCAACAACGAGCCTTTCTACTATTACGGTCCTGCTACTCCGAAATGTGAGTCCTTGCCTCTTGTCGACCTGTGCGTTGGTCATCGGATGGCTGATGCTCTATGATGGCGCGTAGATAAGAACACGTTCGACGTGACCAACGTGACGAGCCTTCCCAAGGTCGACATTGTTTACGGGTGAGTGGCGAAATCGAAAAATGTATAATATTCGGATGACACTGACCGGTACAATCCGATACGGTCGTAGTCATCAAGAGACGGACCCCAGGATCTTTGAATCGATCGTCAAGTACGGAGACGTCAAGGGGATCGTCTTGGCCAGTGAGTCCCGCCGTGTCTCCCTCAAGACTCCCTGCACGATCGCTAATGACATCCTCGGCAGGCCCGAACGGTGGAGTCGGCGTCGACTCTGCCATCACCGACACCATCTCCAGTGGTATTCCCATCGTCCGCCACGTCCGTATCAACGTCGGCATGATCGCGCCCTCCGAGACCCCGCGAAACGGCAGCGTCATCAGTTCCGGACTGATCAACAACCAAAAGAGTCGGATTCAGTTGCAGTTGGCCTTGGCTACCGGAGCTGACCCGAGGGCCGTCTTTGAGGATGCTTTGAGGGAGGAACTTTATGGCAACTAGAGGAGAGGCGATGGTGTCGGAGTTAAAACGTAGAATTCAAGCTAGTACTTTCATTATATAGGGGTTTCTTCAGCATAATTTCCCTGCCATTCAGTCTCCATAGGCAGCTAATTGATTCGGTAGCACGGCTGCCTTTTCACTTGTTCAACCTTTACTATCATAATTTTTATCGAAATATCGGCCTAATCTTGCTAGACATATTGCGCTCGATCAGGCTCTTTAGAACCGGCGCTGTCCTTGGTCCATATTTCAGTCGATCTCCAAGCGGATCGCATCGTACCTATTGATAAAGTCGTCCTTTATCTTCAGTTTCTGACACCGTCAGTCTCAAACGAATCTCTGTTGGACCCACATAACGGAAACGCTATAATTGCGGAAATTGACGTCTCCTCCGCTGGCGTTGTAAGGCAACATGAACTCGAAGACGTTGATCTCGGTCGTCTCGTTCTTCAACCAGTCTCCGGGGAAGCCGAACCTAAAGAATGAGACCGATTTCCGTCAGGTCATGATTACCAACAAGGGCAATCGGTATACGCTCTTACAGGTTGCGCAAGTTGTAACACGCGATCCCATTTCGGTCCGAGCACGAAGACGAGGCGTTGTACGGGATCGTCCAGACCAGCTCGTTGCCATTGATCATTACCGTATAGTCGACATCGGAGTAGTTGGAACTCGGTTCGGGGAGGTCCAGGTTGCCCGATGCAGTCCTCGCTCCGGCCTTGAATAAGAGGGGAACCTTGCGTCAGGAGGCATCGCACAAAATTAGGAGGTGGGGCACTCACCAGTTGAACCGTCAAAGTACTGCAAGTCAAGACAGCAATGTTAAGACTGGAAAAGCTGCAGATGGTAGTCTACTTCACTACTTACGCGTTCTTGCCTGCCTTTTCGAAAGCTTGCTCCGGTTGCCAATTGACAGTCCAAACATTGACGTTGTCGAGGGCGATCTCTTTGCGATCATGGGTTGGACCATATCGACTGTAATGAACATAATTCTAAAGGCCGTATGCGTAAGCTGCAAAGATCCTTGCGGCTTGGACGACAAGACACTAACCCAATCTTTGGAAATGTCCGACTGGCCGATGGTAAAGTTGACACCTTCCGGGAAATCGGTAGGAAAGTCGTACACCCCCCAGTATTGGCGATATTCATTTTGATGTAAGGTATGGTTTGGGTCGGCGGCAAAACCATGCCTGAACTCTCCCGCAGTCTTCAAAAGGGGACCAAAAAACCCCTTCAGCAATCGAACCGAGGCTGCTACCCCTCGATCAAGCGCCCAGTCTCACCTTATCTGGAGTTCCGATCCTCCACAATTCCCGACCATGAGTCTCACCAGACCAATCAATTGCAAAAGGCGCGCCCTCTCCATCGCCAGCCGAGACTGTTACCCCATCCATCTCGAGTTGCCCAAAGATGCCCTCGGCGTACACGGTCAATCGGTAGCTCCCTGCCTTGACTCGCGGGATCGCGACTTTGCCACTGGAGCTGACATTGCCCCAATACTGTCCGACCGCTGCAATAAATCGTTATTGGTTTGATAATCTTCCAATTCGACAGAGAGTGTCACACACTGACCATAATCAACGGCATCTTGGAAGTCTACCCCAACCGCCGACAGGACGGCTTTGCCATTCGACGATCCCGATGGCAGATTGACCACAGCGTTGAAGTCGCCTCGACCAGTCGTCCCGACGTAACCTGGAACGAGCTCAGCGATCTGATCATAAAAGTCAGCGGCAAAGGATGAATTCCTAGCATGAGCAGGTGACGGGTATCAGCAATCAGGTTGTGTAACATAGCGCCTCAGACTCACGCATACTGTTCCGCATCGGCTAGCAGAGTCTCAACGTCCCCATCCCGGTTGATGTAGTTGAAAGACGGCCCGAAAATACGGTCAAAGCCCGACGTTTGGTTCAAAGTGGCCGCGCCCCGGTGGTTCGAAGCGTAGTCTGCGATTGCTCACCCCAACATCAATAATCTGTTCGCTGTTCGGATGCTCGACCCACTTACAGTTGTAAATATTGGTATCGACCACAAGATCGCTTCGCAACGGCCCTCCGGTATAACCTTCCAAATTCGAGAACACTGTCCAAAAGCCCAAAGTTGTTCCGTTGGACTCTGAACCGTCCGCATAGAACCCATGCGCCTTGTGACCGCCTGGAAACATCTCCAGGGTTCAACCAGCCCGTCCAGTCTTTCTTGCAAATCATCGTATCTGCGGCTCACCATACAAGTCCGCCCATTCATACTTCGTAAAGTAGTCCGAGCTATTCGGCGGAAGAATTTACTTTAGTCCGGAAAGAACAGGACGTCGTTAGGTAATTTCGCTTACGATTCGGTCTTGTAAGGATTGCCCTCGGTCACATTGTAATACCAAGTGGCATCTTGCACGGTCCTGACACGCAATTCTCGTCAGCAAGCTCCCCTCCAAGTATCGTGTTCGACGATAGTTCTGGGCAGTTTCGCACTTACACCTGATTGGCTATAGCGGCTTTTGAAGGCAAATGCCCGTATTGCACCGAGTTGGTGACCAGATGAGTCCAAATCGGGGTATTCGGGGAGATCTACAAATACGAATCCGTACCAACCCGATCTCAGCGGATGCCTACCACGTATATGCCATATACTCGTGCATGGAGTCTATGTTCCATGCACGGTTCTATGTTGGGATGTGCGAGACTCACCACCTGTCTCAACTCTTGTACGTTTCCCAGATCGATCTCCTCTGTCCCATTATCGAAAGCCAACCTCGTAAAACTATGATACCCCGTCTCGTTCTCCCTCAAGAACCACCATTGCTGGAACAGCTGGTCTGTGACATTATACTGAGACCAAGTGGGAAGTAGAGTCAGTGGGTTTACTGTGCTTGTCGTGTTCTTACAGTGGATTTCGATTTCGATGCTTACCTGTTCGCTCATCATCAACCCGATCCAAGAATCGCCCTGATGGACCGTATAATTCGCTTGACCCGACTGTCCCGCATAGTCTACCACGTCCCAGAGCAGGAACCTTTGATCAGCCTCAGTCTCAGTTTCAATTACGTCTCGATGAACGCTCAGAGATCATTGTGATTGTAGTATTCACAGTGCCGGGAAGACTGAGGATTAGGATTAGACGGCGACCAAACCGAACTATTGACCGCCGGAATACCTTCAAACGCCCCAAACGCGAATCACGTAAAAATCGATTCAGCCTTCCCGTACTCGTCCTTCTTAACATCGAGATCCCTGAGGGTCATCCTCCTAGAAGTGGGAGGGACTTGCAGTAACAATCATAATACCCCATCCCTATCCTCCCCGAGACCGGTCCTAAGACATCGATGCCGTCCATGATCAGACCCGTCATCGCGCCTAGGGTCTTGTTCACCCTACGGCAGGTTACAGTAAGCGGGTCGGGATGGTTCGTTTCAGCGCGCGTGTAGAGCAGGCTAAGGTATGTGGATCAGGGAAGTTGACTTACGAGATGCTCAATCGGTCGGAGGCGATCGTCACCACTATTGTACGTATACGCGTTTATGATCGTTCAGTCCCTAGATCGAAGATTGTACATTGGGTCGTGACGGAAAACAAAAACAGGAACTCACATTGCTCGGTCTCGTTGTGCGTTAACTCGGCCTTGACCGAACCCAGAGTCGCCATTGAGAGTAGGAACGGGATGGCCATCTTCGACTTCGAAGCGCGCTTTGTCGAACCCACTTTGCTTGATCCTATCGTGTCTGATTTACGCTTTCGTTTGATCAAAAGCCCACCGGTCCCGAAACCTCATCATAGCCTGTCCATGAAGTATATATACGATACTACACTCGGAGAAACACCGTCCAACCTACAACGTTACATGCTGCACGAGGGCTCCCAATTCCTCAAAAGTCTCAAAATTGGAGCTAAATCGACTTGTTCATCTCCCGGGCCGGGTGGGGCGTTAGCGTCGAAACGCGGAGGATCAATATAGCGAGCGAGCGATATTCGGGCTGGTCGAGGTTACGCATGGGGCTCGTGATCGAGACGACAGGAGATCAGATGAACAACTGGTGCTCCAGATGTTCTACCCTCCTGACCGTGCACGGCGCTGGAGTTGTCTGTCCGACCTCGATATCCGAACGGGATAATGTCAAATATTCAAGCGGACCTCCTTCGGTCATTGTCCTCGAGTCAGTGCCACGTCATCGGAATCACGTGACGATCCCTTTCGGAAGCATCTCGTTCCTTTCGGAAGCATATTCGCGATTATGATATCCGTTTCTTGCTTTGCCCGACTACAAATCATTTCTCTGACCCGACTATGAACCTTTTATGTAGACTATAAATCCCTTTGAAAACTTCCGTCAGCGACAAATCCTGAAAAACGTCGACGTTACAAAGCGGCAACAGCTGGGACAGAGTGAAGAGGTAATATCAGCAACCCGAAACCTTGATCCGTGGTTTCATCGTGTCGACTCACCTTCGATCTCGACCGAGATTCCACTACGACGGTCATAAAACAAGAATTAGTCAGCTATTGTCGAAGTGCAAGAGAGAGCGAGACTGTACTCACGTGACGGGCAAGTTGCCCACTTCGAAAGCGGCACGAGCAGGCTTGGGATCCGGGATCATGGCCGAGTAGACCTCGTTCATCTCGGCCAGATCGTTGATATCTACCATCGCCAGCGGGAAAGAATCCGAATGAGCGTCATCAGAGCGGATTCAACCATGGGTTCGGATAGAAAAGAGGCAACGAAATTGTCGACATACCTTGCAGCAAGACGGTAACCTTCAACACCCTACTCCAATCCGTTCCCGCCTCCTGCAAAATCTCCCCGACCCTCTGGATACAAAGAGCCGTCTCATTCTTGATCCCACCCGGCACGATAGTCCCGTTCACCAAAGGAACTTGCCCGCTGACGAAGACGAGGTCCCCGAATTTAGTTCCTCCGGAGAGGGTCTTGCCTACGGCGCCTAGGTGGGTGATATCGTTATTCCTACGTTCGAGAGCTGAACTTGAAGGAGCGTGAGAGGTTAAGGGGGAGGCGGTGATGCTGGTGATGGCCAAGAGGGAGGTGAGGAGTCCGAGGTTGAAGAGCATCGTTAAGGTTGGGGCGGAGTTGGTCGAGGCGCGGGTGTTTGTGTAGATGAGTGGTGCGAATGGAAGGTGGAAGTGAGTTGAGTCGACGAGATCTCAACATTGAACCAGAAAGCAACCATGACGACCGTCCTGACTTGGGCTTTATACTCGTTCGTCCTCTGGGATCTTATCAAACGGACCCCCCCGGATCGATCTTCTTGGCCATGGCATGTCCATCTACGGAGCCCGAACATTCGGAAGAGTAGGAGAACAAGAACGTTCATCCGCTATGCTGCCCGCCGACCGACCTCGAAATCTCGAAACCTCGAAGGGCAAAAACGACAAGACCCCCTTGGCATCCAGATCCATCTGATTTCACCTTATCATCGGACAAACGATACAAGCCATCTCTTCGTGACTCGACTCGATTTGACTTGAGTCCGAGAACGAGGTCTTCCATGCGGAGCGATATCCACCTCGAAATCTCGAAGCCTCGAGCCTCGAACCCCAAATCTGAGACCACCTATGAGTGCGACGCTGCGACTATTCTCCCGCTCCCGGGACCCGACCTCCTATCTCTTTCGGCGATGACCCCAAGCTCGGCCAATTCCCGTCTGCCCGTTTGTGAACGCCGTCGGACAGCAAATCAGAGTTGGACGAGCGTTTCAAGGCGGGGTAAGACCACACGGAACGGACCGCAAGTGATGACAAAAGTCCGAGCTTGAGCTTATCATCGATTGATAAGAATGAGATCGCGCTAACAAGCCAGCGCGTGTGGCGTTTTCTTCTTTGCCAAGCTAAACGGGTTCAAACGGTGGATCTGAACCCTAAACGTACCAGCTTTGCACATGGGCGCATGAACGGATCTCGAGCTTTTGGCAGTGATACGGTCGGGATATACGGGGTACGAACCTCTTGTCGAGCGATATCGCACTGAAGCGCCGAGTTCTGCTCTTAGAAGCGAAAGAGAGGAATGGGGTTTTGCCGACGGGTAGATACGCATCGAAGGGTTCGAGTTGGGATTGGAAAAGGACCTACTTGCGACCGGACCGCCAACCCCGAAATGACTTGATGGGTGGACGGATCCACTGAAGGTCGAGCGATAAGCTGTGGTGCTTGAAAGTTCTCCCTGGAGATCCGGTGAGGGGAATGTTCGTCGGGATGACCCGTCGTGCGTCGACTCGGAACGTATATAAGACGGTCAGGTCGTCGATCTCGAGCAAGATCTCGTCCTGTCTTCTACCTCAGACAACTCACTCCCGCGCACACAAAATACCCATCGAAATGAAAGACTCAATCCTCATCTCCCTCCTACCGCTTCTCCTGGCAGGCAGCTCGGCTGTTCAAGCCTCACCAGCTCCCAAACCCTCGATCGAGTTCCTCAAGTGAGTCGGTTCAGGCTCGCTTCTAAGAGGGTTTACATCCGAAGCCGGGGACTGATCATCGTCTTTTCGTCCTAATGATAGTAACGGACAGGTCCACCGCAACGGCGCCCATAACATCCACGTCTCATACGACCGACCTGAAGCTCTGAGTGGCGATGTCATTCTCGTCTACGGTGACTGCGGGTTGGATCACCATTCCAAGTCGCACCACGAAGTGGGCCGATTCAGCTCGGACAACTACAAGCGAGATGGAATGCCGTAAGCGCGCCTCGTTGACCTGTTTCACCATTCAACATGGACTGACCTAAGACGACTTTTTGACATCGTAGCACCCGTTTCGTCTGGCTCACTCCGGAAGACGCCCCCAGTGGCGGCTGTCTCCACGCATTCACCGATGCAGGCCTGGTCGGTCAATCCGCCCCGCTCGATATGCAACATGCCCCCTTCGGCAAACGTAACACCCTGTCCTCTATCAATGACCCTTACGGCGCTTGGTTCGACGGAGTAGCCTACCTCAAGGCCAAGGAACCTGAAGCTTCGTTCGTCGCAGGAAAAAAGGACCAGAAGATCGGGATCATCGGAGGTGGGATGTCGGGTCTCATGTCCGCCTTGTTGCTCGACTCGGTCGGTATCCATAACTGGGAGATCTCGGAAAGCTCTCAACGTATCGGAGGGTGAGGCTAGAATGGCAAATCTACCGAGGTGCAGTGAGCTAACTTGTCATGGTTGTTTAGACGTCTGCATACCGCATACCTCAACGGTACCAAGCCTGAGGATTACCAGTACCAGGAGATGGGGTATGTGCGACCAGTCCTAGTCGATCCGTCCACCGTATCTGACCTTCCACGTTTTTCAGGCCCATGCGATTCCCTACCAGCTTGACCTACACGGGTACCAACGAGACGCTCGAGATTCAAGACCACAAACTCGTCTTCCAGCTTGCGGATGAGCTTAACAAGATGAACAAGGGAGGCGACCCGTCCCTGCAGGTCAACTTTATTCCCTGGATCCAAAACAACCCCAAGTGAGTGTTCCTAACCAAGACTGTTGGTTCAGTATGATTGTGCGTAGACTGACTTTATCCCGCCTCACAGCACCTATCAATACGTCGGAGGTCTTCGAAACCCCGACGGCACTGCACCTCGACGAAGCCAATATGCTGCCCTCGCCGCCAACGCCTCTGCTGGCACCGAGGCTGCTGAACCTAATGCTGCTGTCGAGGCCGCCGAGGAACATCTCGAAGAGTTTATCGGGTACCAGGACAGATACGCTCTTTCCGCTGCCAATATCTTCAAGGCTCACAAGGCTGGCATCGGTAAGACTTTCCTGGGAACTCGTCTTAGAGTATTTTTGGCTGACCAGTAACGATGATACAATCAGAGGGTGGTCTGATGGACTTCTCCGAGTCGATGTTTTTGAGATCGCAAGGACTGGGATGGAACGAGACCTCGGCTGTCGGCGGTACCGGTAAGTTTAAGTCGTTGAGCGAGAGCCGCTATTTTGATTACGATGTCTTATCATGATTCCTATCGTGCAGGAACCCTTTGGGACGAGATCTACGACGGCGTCTACTTCTCTGCCACCACCTGGAAGACCATCGACAAGGGTTTAAACCGTCTGGCCGAGGCTTTCCACCCCATCGTCGACAAAAAGATCACCTACGGCCGACGAGTCAACAAACTCAGTTACGATGAGTCCACGAAAAAGACTTCTGTACACTGGTACGATAATGCCAAGTCTTCCAGCGAGACATTGACCTACGACAAGACCATTGTCGCCGTTCCCTTCTCTGTCGCGCGACTTTGGCGACTGCCGAAATTCAACCCCGTCATGACCGAGGCAATCACTGGACTTGGTTACTCTTACGCCTGCAAAGTCGCTGTGAGTGACATGGTCTCGGCTACTTACGAGGCGTCCGAGCTGACCTTACCCGTGTCGTTAGCTTCTGTACAAGACTCGATTCTGGGAGCAGATCGAGGACCCTATCTTCGGTGGTTGCGGGTCGACCGACTTGCCAGGGATCGGTTCTGTCTGTTACCCCGCTTACAACATCAACGGTACCGGTCCCGGAGCCATGCTCGCCAGTTATACTACTCCCGTCGGACCCTCCCTCTCTGCCATGTCTGAAGCCGACCACGTCGGTATGGTTGTCGAGGCCATGAACGAGATTCACGGAGACATCGCGCGCGAGCAGTACACTGGTGAATACGACCGGGTCTGTTGGGGTCTTGACCCTCATCAAGCTGGATCGTGGGCCTCACCTTACACCGGCCAACACGAGCGATACATGCCCGAATACCACAAGACTCACTCGAACCACATCTTGTGAGTAGCGGCGCGGGCTGTCCACCGAGACCATGGCTGACCTTTTCGCGCCCGGTATCAGCGTCGGCGAACACACCTCGGTAAACCACGCCTGGATCTTCTCTGCTCTTGAATCAGCCACTCGAGGAGTCGTTCAGCTGTTGCTCGAAGACGGTCTCGTTGACGAAGCGAAGGAGGTGAGTTCGAGCGGGACGGCAAACAGGTTGTGGAAAACCAAAAGGCTGACCGGGTTTGGTTCGCCCTTAAAGATCGTTAACAAATGGATGGCGAGGTGGATCTCGGTCTAAAAGGACGGAGTCCACTTGGGAGATATGACATGGGCCAGTCTTCATCGGAAAGAATGTGAATCAAACACTAGAGATTGGGATATAGTAGAGTATTGAAAATTTTGGGCATATTCGCCACTATTCATAATTGTAACGGGATGCAGCATGCCTTTGAGCATAGACAGATTTAGGTGTCATGGTTTGAGACAGCGGAAACGCCCATGACGACCACGGGCCAAGTACCCCGCCGTGTACAGATCTCATCGCCCAGCGCGACACATCTCCTCCTGCCTCTCGGTTCAATCACCGTCCCAACGTTGATACGTCTTGCATCCTCAATCTGTTCTCATCCTGCCCCCGCCGCAACCCTAGATCTCATCTTCAGAATCGTCCATCATATCGGCAAACTCGTCCACCTCCGGATAATCCCCCACCACCACCCTCTCCGGTCTCACAAACACCCCGCGCATCGGTCCAGAGGTCGTAAAGTATCGCTGTCCGTTGACGCTGCGGCGATGAAGCAATCGCATGAGGACCGAGTCACGAGAGGGGCCACCGCATCAGGTGAACAGCATCGTCCAGCAAATACGAGATCATACGCGATATACCGTCTTAGTTTCAATCTCGGATGACCGTACGGAGCAAGACTCGGACTCACCTCCCATCGTTCTTCCCAACCGGTTCATCCAACTCGATCCCGATCCAATCGCCCTTCGCATCCCCAAAGTTCGTCTCCCCTACGAACCGTATCGTCCCCCTCTTCTCCGTGCCATCCTGCTTTGGTGCACTATCGGTACCGGTACTATCGGCATTGATATCCACATTGACATTGAGATCCGAGGGAGTTGATGAGAGGACGATACACCGTGCACCCTCCCTTTGGTCCGGTTTGCGGGTATGCGAGGTGGTTTGGGTTGAGGATGATGAGGTGGGAGGAGCGAACCGACCGAGTTTCCTCGCTTCTAGGTCTTTGAGTACGGTATCTACGTGTTGCAGTTATGTCGGTCACACATAAGCGTATCCTGATCAGCTCCTACTATACTAAAACCCGGACTCGTATTTCTCATCTCTGGAAAGATGGGAAATGTCGAAGCCAGGGGTTGAGGAGTGTAAAGGGGATGAGGACTGACCTGCACGTTTCTCATACTCTTCCTGTGAGATCTCGTATTTCTCCACTTGAGAAACATCGGTAAACTCTCCTCCTGCACGTGCGTTCGGGTCGGTGTTCTCTACCTAAAATAATCATAGGTCACAATCAGAATCAGCTTTCTTGATGACATCAGCCACAAGTCGAACAAGCACAATTCAAGCTGCCGGACCATGTTTCGCTCAAGACAACCGGGAGCTCACCTTGATGCACTGCCATTCCTGTACCCCATACCCATTCAACGTCCTATCCTCATCATCCATCACAACGACGGGCTTCCCCAAGGCTTCCGCCGAGTCGACATCTTCGTACAGGACGAGCCTTTGTGAACGGTACGAGATGCCCGTGACCGCTTCGAGCTTGCTCTAATAGTACATCAAAGCACAGGTTGATGAGAATCCCAAAACAGGCTAGTTTGCGAGTCAGCCTCATCTCGTCGGATTATATAGCTAGCCAGGAGAGTGGTTGGGAGGGAATCGAGCTGGTGATCCAGGACGACCCCCGGCTCACCTTGAGAGCTTGGATCGTGATCTCGGGGTCGTAACGTCGTTCCCCAAAGGTGTCTGGGCTCTGGATAAAGACTTTGAGGGACATGTCTAGCTTGTGTCGTCTGTTGACTAGAGTCTGTACTGGTAGAAATCTACAGTATAGGTCGTATCAGAGATAGATCGAGAAGTGGATGGTATAGTATATAAGTAGTAGCAGTAGGAGGGGTGTCTAGCAGAGCTTGATCGACCTCGGTGACCTACCTCGCCGCGAATATGGAGAATCGAATTACAAACCTCTCCGGTACTTGACCTGCCACTCTCTATCTCTGCTGCGACACCACTACAACCAAGCTAGCAACTCAAGACCTACCTCCGAAATAGACTGTCAGGCACCTCTCGAAGAAATCCTGTGCAAGGCGGACTTCTGGACCTCATCCGGCCTGCATAGTCGCATCGACATCAATTTGACGGAACAGCGACGAATCCCCCAGGCCAGGTGGACCATCATATCCTGGCTACCTCTCCCCCTTTTGACTGGTAGACCTCGATGCCGCTCACAGCCCATCGTAGGCATGCCATCACATCCGTGAGTTCCTGTCATACCCCACGTCCTCATACACACCTTGGATCGTCAGGCTGAAAGTACCGTTCGACCTCACTTTGTAGCTCCTCTCGGTCGTAGGGCCCATATGCCTGTATCAATACCTCCTCGCTCCGAACCTTACCGTCTTTATCGTCCGGCTAGTCACTCAGACCCGTACGCACAAACAGGTCCCCCCACAGAGCCCGAAAATCACATGCTGATATGTTACCCTTATGAACTCGCCCCTCGCCAGGCTCGTCAACACCTCGAATAGCACACCCATCCTCATCCCTCCTGAGCTTATCAGCCGGGGTGATCGCCTCCAACCTCCTCGCCGTATTCCTACACTGGCTAGATGATGCCGTGGCCATGGAAAAAGGTCTCATCCTGGACTTTGTCGGTCTGAGTGAGTGTTTGCTCGTTTATTTACTTCGCCGCATGGTATATGATCAAGACGAAACGAGACGAGCACCAGCTGACCTTATCGCTTGTACTTCGACCTGTTTCTATTCCCCTGGACACCACATAACGAACCCCCGATAACAAACAGAGACCCGCCCTTCCTTCACCCAAGTCCTCTGCCTCGACGCCTTCCTCATGTTCTACCAACTCTTCACCCTGTACATCGCCTACCTCGCAGACCCCCTCCCGGTCGGTTCAGCGGACAAGTTGCTCGAACCTCCCAAAAAGCTCATCAGAAGCTCCAGACGATCAAGAAGAAAGCTCAGTGCTGCGGGAAGACGAGAGGACCGAGCGGGATTGGGGTTGGGCTTGGATGTTTCAGAGCGGGATGGGCCGGGGGAGATCGATCTGGGCAAGGACGACGATGGTGATGATGACGAGAATGGGGATGGTGGTGGCGTTGGCGATGATCTGGACCTGGGTATGGAGGATGATTACGATTACGAACGACGAGCGTTATTAGGACAAGGTGAGCTTCCGAGTCCCCCTCTCAAAAGGTCAAAGAAGTATCAGAAGATTAGAGCGTCCGCCGACGACCGCATCCCATCATATCCCATCATCCCTTTCAGCTGATCTCGCTGGTCATTCTTACCTATCCACCAACCCAGAAACAATCACAGGAGCCTCATCCGACCCGCTATCACACTCAACACCTCCACCCGCACCTCTGATCTTCATCATCCCCCACCTACATACCTTCTTCTCGACGATCTTTACCTACCCATCGCCTGACCAGCCGGTACTCTCCTTCGCCGGCGCCACCCCCGTACTCGGACCTCGGACGAGCGGGGAGCTGGATAACGCCGAACAAGGTCAGGTGCCAGTGAGACCAACACCACCACCACCCACGGGGGATGCCGGTCCGGCTGTACGGATACCAGGAGGGTTGAACGATCGTGGGTTTTGGTAGAGTGGACATTTCGTTATTATAGACGGTGGTGAACAGACCCGGACTTGGCGGGCAGAAGATCGAAATGGATGGACGGGTATGGGAGTAGGACTGGATATTTTGTATCGACCATTGAAATTACATTGCATCGCATGTTAACGGTAAGGAGAAAGTAGGCAGAGCAACGCAGAAAGAAGGTCGTTTCCAAAAGTGAAAATCGAGGATGTCCCACATGTACAGCTCATGGACACCTCGATAGCAAGCAAGCAGGGGTGCGCCTATCTCACCTTCCGGGCCGGTCTTCTGCCCGGACAGTCACCTGGTATTTCATTCACTCCACAAAGACATTCTCTGGAAAGGCTCTCGAACAAGAACAGCATCCTTGCCTACGATGAACATTGGCGACGTCGGAGCTCCGACGGAACGCACATGACCCGGTCCGACCTTTCCCCGGGGGGGCCCGTGGAATCGTCCTCGTGACCGACTTGGAATCACCACCACCAGCGCATCAGCATCTCCATTGCACGAGAATGATTTATGCGAGCACAGAGTCATCGGCCATCGGCCATCAGTCCACATGGAATGGCATGACATGCCATGGGAGGTTGCGCACGGGCGCGCGCAAGTTCTGTCGCGTTTTGCGCCCGCCTCATGTCTCACAATACCATATCGAGATTCGCCGTCATGATCAAGTGATCAAGTGATCATTGCATTGTCTACGAGTGACACCATCGAAGGGTTGTGAACCATGCTTGACCGCCTGCAATCCGGTCCGAGATCCCGGGAGGTCCATTCCCCTCGACCAGAGCCAACTATCAGGCTCGACTCTTGTCTCGAAGGCTGTTGACCTGGGCCTCGAACGAGGGCGGGCAGCATATAAAGGACGTGGATTATGGACACCTCCTCTGAAAAGCTGTACTCGATCATCTTCGGATCATCGGCTTTGGCATCCCTTATCTTTCGACTCGCGAGCACCTAGCGCTTCCCAACATCGACCCGTCCCTTTCCATACCAAGAGCTACGAGTATGCACCCCAAAGTCGCCGTCGCAACCTTGCTTGCCTTCGCGCACATATGCTCGGCCATTGTCAACATCACCATCCCGCCTTATGAGCCCAAGCTCGCTAGGATCGTGCCTAAGAGTCTCGTCGGGATCTCCATCGAGATGGACCGTTGGATTGACTGGTCAGGTCCTGCCGTCGGAGAACCGAACAAGTTGGTCAACCAGCTGTTGAGTAATCTAGCTAATTATACTGGGCAGGCCGTACCTCTTCGAGTAGGAGGCGAGTCGTATACCGAGCGTTGTTACTGTATAAGCGCAGAATAAGTACTGACTTCGTACCCATCGCTCCTTCGCGTCTCGCAGCGAACAGTCAAGACCGAGGCTTTCTCGCACCTGAATTCGAGGTACAGAATCTCACGTTCCCCGCCGCCACCGCGCTCGTACCTCAGCCCGAGGCCAGTCGCATCGGCATCGGTCGAGATTGGTACAAGCTCAGTGGAAATTTCCCACCGGTACCTCCTTTACTTGGGGAATCAATCTTAAAGCGTTGAACGTCACCGAGACGGTTGCACAAGGGGCGCAATTGGTAGGTCTGCCGATATACCGTGCGACATGGCCCGAGGTCGGGGGCGAACTCGACCCACTCGAGCTGAAACTGATCGTGATCGATGCCGTTTCTCTCAGTACGATGACTTTTACGGTTCGGGCGCTCAGGCGCTTGCACATGTTCGACTCGACAGGATCGAGATGGGAAACGAGGCAAGCTGTCCCGACTCGTGACGTCGCCCGTATCTGATCACTGACCGTGATTGTCATGCAGCCGGACATTTACGACTATCCAAACCCCTTGAACCCCAACGCGGGCATCCCCGGCTGGTCGGCTAAACGTTACATTGAGACCTGGAACCGAGCCGCAGAAGGCTTGATCAAGAAGTTGAACTCTGACGTCCCCCACGGCCCGCGCTTCCAAGCTGGTGTCATCGCTGACCCGTTCAACGCGTGGATCTGGGGGATCCGCCAAGCTCTGGTGGACGGTCTGCAAGATTCCGCCGCCGCCAAGTATATCAAGACTTAGTCAGTTCATCAATACTTTGTGAGTCGATTGGCAACGAGCGCGCTTCTTGGACATCCGAAGTCGGTCCTTGTTCAACTCTATCGCATGTCAGGGTTCTCGTATCACTCGAGACGGAATACCCCCTGCGAGTGGTTCCCTGATGGGACGAGCCGGTGTCAGAGGCAACCTGACCAAGCACGCAGAATATGCCGAGCAGACCAATCGAGCGGGTTACGAATACGTCATTGTGAGCACAAGCCAGCCATGACCGAGTTCTTCAACGTCGGGTTGTACTGACTCGAATGGTGCGATACGTACGAGAGCAGGGCGAGACCAACAGTTTCTCCTTGCATGGTGTTCCCGGTGTGAGCAACACGGCCGAGGCGGCTATCTGGCTTGCCGATTATGCGCTCCAAGCGGCCACTCTCGGGGTCAAGGAGTTAGACTTCCATTCCGGTCGAGGGTTTGCGTGAGTCGGCCAGGGATGTCCGGGAGACGCCACAATCGAGGTTTCGCTAATGTACTCGTATGTTTCGATCACGCGATAAACAGATACAACCTCATCCAGCCGGTAGCTTACGAGTCGGACACAACCAACATGAGCATGCCTGCCGGGATTGAAGGCGGGTACTACGGCGCCCTGATGGTCAACGAGTTCATCGGACTCTACCCCGAGGTTAAGATCGAAGAGCTGCCCACTTTCAACACTGGCGTCTCAGCGTACGGCGCGTGGGAAGGGGGTGATCTCAGGCGGATACTGGTCCTCAACTCGGCGGTCTATAACAGTACCGCCAACAGCACGCGAGACTACCAGACCATCCAGCTGATCGGTCACAAGGAACAGAAGACGACCGTGAAGCGCTTCTACGCGCCAGAGACTTTCTCGACTAGTGGTCTGTGAGTCCAAGCGAGTGAGCGGAGTATCTATAGCGAGATTTTGAGCGGTTTCTTTCTCTCTTATCGTCGCCAAATAGTCTATGGGGAGGACAGTCTTTCGAGACAGCGGATGGGAAGCCGTCGGACCAGGTCACATATGAAAGCCTCAGTGGCACAATCTTGAACGTTACTGCGACCGAAGGTGTCTTGGTTTGCTTCAAGTGATTCATTGTGTAAATAAGTTTGTATGGTTTCAGCTGCTCAAAGCAAGAGACGCTTGACTGGGGAAGGATCAAGGGCCGGTCAGCGTTGGCGAAAATCAGATTTAGATGGTTGTATGGGCGGAAATCTTTTTCGCGTTTATTCTCTTGTCGATCGGATCATCAACTTTCGTTAGGACTGTCGCCGGATAAACAGACCGGACATGTCGAAATGAATGCGCTTGCGAGATGCTTGGCCGAATCTGCCAGAGCTTCCCGTTTCAAGTGACGCGCCCGAGGCGATTTGGCGTCTTCTCCTGCGGCAACTGTTTGTCGTGTCATCCCATTTTCGGAAGTCAGGATAGGATGTGTTCAGGACTTGGTGTTGCATAGCGCTGACTTTTCACGGTGACTCGAGGATTCTTAGGCTTGTTGAATCCACCGCCGACCAGCGATTATCCTTCGCCGCAACAAAGCAACAAAGAAGCCGAGCTTTGCCTGGACGTCAGGGAAATCACCAATGACGTGGACATACTTCAAAGAGGAGCTTTATATAACATACCTGTGGACAAGGCTTAGTAATCCTTGATCTGACCGGAAACCCAAGTGCTGATCGGCCTGTAGACGGTTACGTGACTTACGTCAGCTGCTATCCCCTGGGCCACTGTGCTGTACGTTGGCTTTTTCGAGCTTATCTATCAATGTCACAATCATGTCGTCCTTGGCCATGTCTTCACCAGGCTCTTTCAGCTGACCCTGCAACAAATGGATATCTCTACGCAGCGATTGGATCTCCAAGTCTTTGGCTTGCACCGACCCAAAAGACCATTGCAGAATGTGATTCTATCGGCAATCATGCATGTTGACTGACGTGATCACCTTGTATCTATTTGGCGCTCAGGACATACTTCAATTTCTTGATAACTTGATATCAATAATCACAAAGCAAGCGCAAAGAAGTAGACTCCAATATTGAAGAGCAGATTTTGCTCAAATCACATCGCCCTGACTAGAATCAAGACGTTCAAATGGCTGCTGTGCTGATGCCCCTTCAGCGTTTCAAGAAGAATGATGAGATCAATTCCCACAAATTGGTTTGCTTTGTCCAGCATGGGCTGTAGCTCAATCTGGCTCCGGCAGAGATACATGTTGTAAAACTTTGTCTTCAGAATGGATCCCTGTTATAGCATCCGCGGTACGCATACCGAACGATTGCGTCGGGTAGTTTTACAGGGACCTCCGGTGGGACTTCCGTACGGAGTATATCTAGAACACCCCTATGTGTTTTCTGTAATGTAGTACTAGTTGTACTACATCTGTTATTACATTCATTACCTTACCCCTACCTTCTAGTCCCGTGTGATACTATTCCAGGCTTGCAGGCAAGCCTAATACCCTTAGACATAGCCCTGCATAGACTGTTAGTCCTTCCCCCTAATATACATTGAGCGGTCTTGCCAACGGCCTTCTCGAGGCCGAACAGTTGCGGTGCCGGGGACATGGCTCGAAGCAGGCGTGCAATGGCCCTGTCTCAGTCGGGATTGCATCCAAAGTCAACCTCTCCTTACACATCTTCATCATGTTGCCATCGTCCACATTATTGCTTCATGGAAGTGTCAATCTATGCAGCCAGGAGGGACTATGCGGACGACAAAGCATGTCCTCCTTTCCTGACCTGGTCACACTTGGCTCTCAAAGATCTGCATGCAGTTGAAGAGGGATTGATAGTAGCTACTTTCTAGGTCCATGAAGAATAGTATTGACTGTCCTTTACTGAATGACGGAGAATGGAGCATCAAGGGGGACTAAGCGATGTCAGAGAAAGGAGCAGTTGACGACTGCAACAATTGCCTGGCCTCGCAAGTTCTCTGCGTGATGTGATCGATGCGCTCCTTTGAGCGCAAGTTTAACAGATGCCAGTTCCTTTGTCAGAGGGAGATGAAGGAGCAAGCGCGTATCTTACTTCTTTTGATGGACAGGCGGTGATGTGATGGGCGACAAAGGTGCGCGGACCAGAGCTTTGATACACAGTCACTGCTTGGTGCTTGGCGGTAGTCAGGAAACTCATATAAGAGCGATCGTCAAGTTTTTCTCGGAAGGGAGAAGTTGTCCACAGATCGAATGTCAGCATTATTGACACCAGCACTCATCGACTAAAGTGACGTCTCTTGCACGTAAAACTCGATCATTTGCCACAATTGCCATAATGGACCCGTACTATTGCTTTGGCGACGACTGGACGCCAGACACGTATGAAGTCCCGTCGATGTTTTCCGGGGTGTCTGAACCTCAGACTCTACCAGAAGATGAAACCCTTGCGCCAAATGCCGATATCCCCAGTCAACATCAGGCGAGCGAAGAGTCGGATGGTCTTTCGACTTCCACTGGCTTCCGACCTGACTACTCCGCTCATCGCGAGGTCGTCCAGCAGTCTGCTACGACACCTCCTTCTCCTCAGCCTGCGAACACCGGAACTGGTCGACTTCGTCGGTCTACGAGACTAGGACACAGAGCTCCGAGCTATACCACCTATTTCGAGCCAGTCATGGCGATCGATGATGGGTCTGAAGACGACATAAGCGCATTGACAGTGGCGAAGGCGCGCACACGAGGTCCCTCTCGCAGACATGTCAGCTCTTCGCCCTCAGATAACTACACTGATCGAGAAGCTCACACTGACACTGGAAGCTTCGGAGGGAGTCGTTCGGCCATGACGGGCAGTTTCAGCATCCAATCACACACGAGCGGTTTCGTCTCGTTGGTTTCGCACAACCAATTCAACAACAATCGCGTGGCCCTGTTCCCTCGGGACGAACCCTTCTTTGTGGAAACCCCTACGGGCTGGTGTCAAGTTACTTTCACTGCACGTTCAGGAGTGAAGACTGGGGAAGAATGGCGGGGTCTTCGAAGCAGGTTGACTGACTGCATGCGTGCAATCAAGAATCACGATCGGCAATTTGCCTTGACAGGGCAGGTACATGCTCATTGTGGTGCTGTTCTTGCGCTTCTAAGAGCAAGCAAAGACTTCAGGACCATGACAGACACAAACTTCAGTGCTGCCATCAACCGGGGTCTCTTGAGGCTCAATGATGCACTTTTGGTTTCACAGAACCCTGCCTCAAAGCGAGCATTCTCAGCGGAGCAGGAGACCGTGAAGTGGCTGCAGAGCTGTCTTTCGGCCCTTCTTCAGAGTCATCAACTGGCGGAAAGCAAGCGACAGGATGGAAGTGATCCTATCTGGCCAGACTATGTGAAAGTTGCAGACATAGTCTACTTGGGCGAGAATAAGCCGCCAGTCTTGTCATCCCGATAATGTATGAGTGGTATCGATGTGGGAACAAACATGCTTGATGCCCATTTCATCTGTCCATTGTTATAACTCTGATGCTCTTTAGTGTTCCGATCGTCTCTGGTAATACGTACAGCAATTCGTCTACCTTGCTGTAACGACCGAGAAGAATCCGGTCAATCTTCCGCTGACCAAGCACCGCGCGTTGGCTAGAAACATGAGTGGCAAATCCTGGTGCAAGGTGCGCTTACTTCGATGTAGCGTACAACCCTTCTTTCGGATGGCCGACAACGATTGTGGCTTGCACGAGCAGGAGTCAAACAGGAAGTGCGAAGCAGTCCTAGCATTTATACGATGCTTCTCGTTGAAGAACAACCTTGCGCTATGGCCAGTACGCGGAGGAGATTTGCAACGCATCTGTAGGATCAAGGCGCCAATAACCTGACCTACAACGATGCACAAATGCGCCTCTGATAGTGCTGACACGAGTGACGATATGTTGACGTCAATGCGCTAAGGGCTCAGTCGTCACTAGAAACGTGATCATCCGCACCTGCGCTTCCTTTGATCGTCAGGAGGTAGCGTGATGCTGTGTGCATCGAGCGGACGGCTGTATCAAAGTGAACTCGGCTGTCAGTCTCTGTATGTTGCGGCATATGCTCCTTTGATCAGTATTAAGGGGTGGTTTCGGGATCCTCGCTGCCACTTCGCAGCTCCCCGATGTGGTCGCATCTCTATCTCGACTTGGTTATATACGTTCCTGGTTCTGCAATCGTCCCCTGTCTCCCCTTCGAACCATATATTCAACGGTACACTGCCCCCCTACTGAACCTGTTATCGTTGCTTCAGACGCAACAATGGATTACCCCGAACACAGCGCTCATATACAAAGGATCTTGTCCGGATCTGAGGATACACTTGAGCTGTATCTGGAACCTCGGATGTTTCCCTCCCTAAGCGATCGATATGATCCATCTTCTAACCTGCCGCCAGGATAGGTAGAGACCGCTATCAACACAGCGTCAGGACCTCAGACCATGACACCAGGTATGACACGATCTGCTGCGTACCGCCTTAACCATACATACGATCGTTGACGACAGAGATTTGCCACTCTTAACGTAGCATCGTCATTGACGAACGAGTCTGCGGAATGGGAGAAAGTAGCCACAGCTACTGCGAGTCTTGAGCTAGCCTCGGACAAGACCATGTCTAATTCTGTGGCCTCGACACCGGCTGAGGGCAAGCCCCCGCAATATTTGTACGGCAGCAAGAGGTTTGTCCCTGTCCAGACTCCCCATGGATGGTGCTTGATCGAGTTCACTGGACGCAAGGGAAGCCAGAAAGGAAATTCACGCCCACAACTCAACAGCAGACTAGCAGAGAGTTGTCGCAACATTCCCATGCACGATCCTACTCTCGAGCTGACAGGAAAGGTGCACTCGTACTGCTGGTATACCATCTATCTGCTCAATGAAAGCGAGCGGTTCAGAACTCTGATTGACACCAACATCAGCGATGCTATAACGACACGCCTAGACATGATCTTGACCGCTATTTGTCCAGGTGCGCCCAAACCGGAACGAGATGCTCTGGCAAATGTCAAACGCTGGCTGGAAATCTGTTTGTCGGCCGTAATTTGGTGCCTAAATCATTGCGAAAACGTCGATCCCAATTGGAAGACTCGGGACTATGTCAAGGTCGCAGACATTGAGATCCTGGGCACCACTAATGTAGTAACTACACCCCTCTGCCACGACAGATAGCGTTGTATACACGATGCAGGATATGTTTGATTGACTAGATTACCATCCCTACATGCTACCGTGTTATTGGTACTAGCAGTCATGCCATAGACTTGATCTCCCCATCGTCCCACACGACCGAGTGCAATAGTGCGGTCCTTCGTCAATAGGTTTGGGGAAGCTTAAATAACGTCTCTTTAGCTCCAGCGGTACGCAAGCACATAAGATACAGATTTTTTTTCGGTTATTATTGTTGTGCTACTTGGACAATCTGGTCAGCTACATTCCGTCAACAGCCATTTACCGTTCGAGGTCTCAGCATCTCCAGCACAGAGTCAGCCAACCTAACATCATGCGACAAATCTCCAGGGATCACGTCTTCGTATCGATACCACCACAGATCGCGACTGCTTTGGGATCGTTCGAGATACACGCCCCAGTCTTGGATGGAATGACGTCCACCAGACATGTCCTGGGAAATCGGCACGTTGGTCAGTCATCACGAGAGCACGAATATTGAAGAACGTCGCATGAATCTTCGGTTGAGCAGGTACTGCCGCTTTCTCGTAAATTCGAGGAGCAAGGTATATCTGCCGATACGGAGGCAGACTGTCAGATCGCGATGTGCGAAGTGCCGCAATTGCAGCCTGGAGTCGCGTTAAACAGTACTTGTGATGGCCAAACTGGCGTTACCGATCGCGTCGTTCTGTCCACCTACATGAGGCCATACAGTGGTCGGCAGAGTAATCCAGTAGCCCTCATCGAGTGGGTCTCGACTTCGTCCACAAGCTGCACCGACTCTGGAGATGCATTGTGTCTCCGGCCATTCGAAACACCGTCAACAGCCCAGAATACTATCCAGCAGAATTGCAACCGGGTACTCATCGCCCCGAGGTATGCATTTACCACCCAACCTATCGCTGAAGGGAAAACGCCCAGTCTCTGATTCGGGCCCGCAAAAAAAGAAAAGGCATATGAGGTGTGGACGGTGTTTGGCTACGCGATTATCGGATTTGTGACCTGCAAGGGGGCGAGAACGATCAATCAGAGAGCTGGATTTTTGTCGTTGCGAACGATCTGATGAAACGAAAGGTTCTTGCGTCGTATCTAGGGAATTACCGTATATCTTCCAGGTTACTCACCGAATTACCCAGTCTCAGAAAGGATCGGGATCTCCTTATGCCGATCAATCATGCAGGGTTGCAGAAACTCAACAAGACCATGAGACAACTTAGGGATTGATTCCTACGCTCAGGGATGCTGCGATTCAGGGGACCTTTTCGAACAGCATAACCGATGGCTTGCTCAGGAAACTACATATCTGGTTCGAGTTGCTCATGATTGCTCGCTGATTGAGAATAGATCATGGAATAAATGTCGATGAGAAGCTGGGCTATAGGCACCTGGGCTGGCAGGACAGGTAGTCGCGAAAGTCCCGGATCTCGACCATCAGTAACGCGTATACTTGTTGAATTCCTTGTATTCGCTATTCGATCAATCTACTCCAGAATCTTCTGACTTCAGCGTCCATATAAAGATCCACTAGGCACCTCTGACCAGGCGCCCTCGGGTCGACATGCTGTAACGCTCCTAGGTCAATGATGTCCTCGCTGACTTGGCGATGAAACTATGGCTAAGTCTCGCGGCCCAAAGGACCAGCATTGAGTCTTTTGTAAAGGGGCATCCTACGTCCAGGAATGGAGCATCTGCCCTGAACTTGTGGCTTACTAGGTACCGCTCTGTCGATATCAGGGCAGCGATGGTAGCTGGCTAAAGAGCGAGAACATGAATGCGTTCGATCACGTCACCAACTCACTAGCGCGCGCGTCCTCTTTACCTGAAACAGCGTCGAAACCCTATTGCGGCTGACCTATGTGACTGTTCCCTCCAACCATGACGAGCGATCTGATTACGCATTCTTTTGATAGGTGATTGCAATAGGGAGGTCTTTCAAGGTTTAGTGGCAGTCGGCTGCGTCTCAGCAGTCCCTTGTCCGATGTACAAGAAACGGAGCGGACAAGTTGTACGTTTTCGTCATCCAGCGACCATCGGAGCTGCAGAGTCAGCCATGAATCAGTCCACGCAGCAACCTTGCGATTCCGAATTTCACCAATATAGCGAGGAACATGCTTCTAAGTCGGTATCTGTCAACTCGGGTCGATCGCATCCAGAATTCCGGTGCTGCATACCCAGTTGACGTGGGAAAATCAAGATCTTTCGAGATCCCTTGATGACAGCTTCCTACTGGCCAACGATGACAGTCCGTTAGCCTTGACGTCCGATCTTGCCCCCTTTCCCGTCTCCTGCAATAGGAGATTCGAATTCTGTGGGCGATATGGAGGCTGACCGACAAGCCTTGAATGTGCCTGACCCAGAGCTAGGGGTCGCCATGAAGCGATTATCAACAGGACCTACCGTCACGTCACCAGCAGTGCAAAACCTTGTGACTTCAAGCTACATGCCGCTTCCGCCGGTGAAAACCTCGGAGGTCATGTCTCGAAGTCGCTCTCCGCCCTCCGCCTACAGGTATAGAGTCTCAGTTGTTGCTGCGATAGAATCCCCGAACCAATTTGAATGGCCCTCGACAGCTGCAGGCGCGTTCGATTCGCAGAGCTTCGTAAATCCATCTAGTATCACGAATGCTGTGAACAGGTGACAGTCGGAGTCGTGCTCGGCATTGTTTCGAGAGGAGTATCTACCTACCGATTCTACTACGCAATGTCATAATGAGCGCACGTCTTTCAGACTGAGGAAGATAAAGTTAAGTCCGGGAAGGGCAGATCGCTTAATGAAAAACTCACGGGGACCGCGCAGATGGTGAGGGATCTGCAATATTCCCTTAAGCTTGTCCTGGAAACAGGCCACCCGTTCCTCAAATTGTTTGACAGCTTCCTCTCAGCGACAAAGCAAAAGGATGATCTTATGATCTTCAGCGGAGGCAACGTGCGCACCCTTCACAAGATCATTTGCTTGGTGCAAAACGCTGTCGAGGACTAGGGGTCAAGTCAGATACAGTCATAATAGGGCTGGCTACATGTGGCCACAGACTAAGCAAGACCCTCAGATTCCTGCTGATACAACAATCGAGCAAGGATTGGGGCTTGTGTGATTTTTGGGTGAGCAATCACAAGTGTCTCCATTATTATGAGCTGGTATCAAATCATTGGCAGCCATCGAGAATGTCGCATCAAGCGATTAGTAGAATGGTGTATTGCCATTGTGTCTCCGTTGCAGCCCATTTACAAAAGTATATGACCATTCTCTCAACGGGAACCCATCGTGATCAACCAGAAGGGACTTGAATTGATCCTCAAAGCCCATGCCCTTGGGTGTGCTTGTCCGAACCTAAAATGGGTAAAGCATGCTTGGGAGGACGAAGATGAATGGAGCCTGTGAAGTGGTTTTGTTAGTTATCAAGGAAAAGGAGGGCCTAGGTGAGTTTGTGCTCAAACGTCACCTTTGAAGACTCATCTACGTAACGAAATCCCGGCCTCGTTCGCCAGCATGCAGTCGACTGCAACCCCTGACTCGACTCTGGACATACACTCTTGCCATGTTCCCAGACCGCATGCCTGGCTCTCATGTGGCCTGTGCCCTGGCATACCAACATCGCTCAGACTCTCAGAATGGGTCGTCGTCGGCCGGAACAGGCTGGTGACTAGCCCGCGATCACCACCACCACCACCACCACCATCAACGCGAATGACGCAAGAGGCAAGGGTCGCACCCAAGGCGAACGATCTTGCTTACATCAACAACACGAAAACTTGTGATGTGAGTCTGGAGCTCGAGTTTCATGCTACTAGAAGGCTCGTACATGTAGCTGACACCTGTGGTGACCTTTGTACCTTTGGGAGAGTCAGATCTGTAAATTCAGGTCAGTGTAACATCAACGAGAGCCTTCCGAGGCGTTCACACAGCAAATGCTGACATCAGAACACCACGGAAACGTCCTCTTTATGATTCAGGAAGGTCAAAGTAAGTCCTCGATCTCTCCAGCTCTCACGATTCTACGCGATAACGATGCTGGTCATTCCATACTCTCTGACTTGCACCCTTTTTCAGTGCGTCGGCGGTCGACCCTGTGCAGCATGCCGACTCCATACCACCGAATGCGTGTTTAGCGGGTCTACCCGTAAACAACTCTTGCAGGAACACAATCGACCTCGAGGAGAATTGTCTTCGGGGAATGATAGGCTTGGTGAAGCGACGAGCGGGGACGTCAGGTCAGTCGAATCACAGGGGGAAGGCAGGACGTTCAGATCATGTGAACATCGTCACTGATGGAAAGACTTCGTATCGTCCGTTTCCCCCAATATGTCCTTATACGATACACCAGCTCTATACTACCTCTACGGCTGAACGAATCTCCTTCCGCCCCAACAGCACCGACCGACCTCGACTGGATCACCCCTACCCTAGCTTCGATGCCTGTACCCTACGGGATGATCCCCGTAGATTGGTCGGGGATCAGTTGGCCTACCTCCTCTTTGCCTGTCCCTCGGAAAAGGGGTAACGACAACTCGACCGGGGCCGAAAATCAACAACAGTGATACCGTCATATACAATCATCACCTTGGCAAGTATACGCATACTTTCTGCTCCCGCAAGACCGAAGCATAGCGGCATTATGGCGATAGCTTCTCTACGGTGGAGCCGACCTAGTGACCTCCTTTTCGGACGATTATCGCAGGTTGGCATAACGATCTTACGATTCGACGGATGAGGGCGGACGCGTTTGGGAATGCCCGGGATGGTTCTCTATGAGGGCGATTCGGGCAATCGAAACATGGAATTCTGGGGATGGGTGTTCGAGGTCATTGGAAGGACGTGATGAAGTGACCTCGACTAGGAAACCTCGCTGACAACGTGTCGTCTCGTCTTGTCTCGTCCGGTCACTATAGGGATCACGTCATACTTCGGACTGCAAGACCTCTTGGCAAAGATGTTACAGGTTCGAATACAACAATCGCACGAACCGATCGGGCGAAAGGCATTCCAGCAATGACGAGGTATCGAGCCCGAGAGCCGGGGTCCAGATTTGTGGCGATGGGGGGTGCGAACGTTACATGTGAGCTGTCCTGAGCTCGAGCGTCGATGACCGACAAGGCTGACTTTTGCGCAGCTTCCGGGACCGCCTTCGAGATCCCGAGATGCCCAACCCGAATCCGATGTTCCTGCCATCCCGCCTGGCTTACCGGTTCTTGCACGAATACTCGCGCGTCATCTTTCCCGTGCTCGACCTGGTCGCCATCGAGCGATCCATAGGCGCGTCGTTTGACACCTCTCGACCTGGCGCACGACGACCTTTTCCTGACATCGCCAGTCCACGGGTTGAGCGCGCTCGGGACATGCTCGTCCTCGCCTTTGGCGCACAAGTCATTAGTGGGGACGGCGACGCGGATTGCCCGAAAGACATTGCCGTGGTCTGGAGCGAGACCTTGTTCAGAGCGGCTTACGGGATCATGAACGATATGGGCGCGTTTGAAGGCGGAGTCGACTTGATTCGATCGTGGATCATCTATGCCGAGTTCAGTCTGAGTCACGGAAACAGTGGGGGTGAGTTCCCAACTCTTACGTTCAACGAACGACCTGACGCTAAATCTTGACCTGCAGCCGAATTCGAAACCATGAACACGGCGGCCCGATCGATCACCCGGATGGGTCTGCACAAGCGCGGGACGTACGAGTTCGACGTCGCCGAGGTCAACGACTATCGGACCGTCTTTGCCGTCAGTTTTTACTCCGAACAGTGGGCATGCCTGTGCCATGGGAGCCCGTCGATGTAGAAAGTAAGCGCGCGCGCGTGATGATTACTGGGATTACTCCTCAGGATTACAGATGGGTGATGCTTAGTCAGCATCACCTTGGGAGACTTGGGTGGTGCTTAGTCAGCATCACCTAAGTTGGGACTTCACCCCAGTGATGAAAATCTCGGACAACTAGATCATCAATATACATCACTTGACTGTTAGATCTCAAGCAATATCTTGAGTTCTAACAGGTCAGTACCTTTGTATTGGTTAATAGCACATGCCATTGATAAAGCAATATCTTGAGTTCTAACAGTTCTAACAGTCGACCCTCGCCTGGGATGCGGATGCGATCGAAATCGTGGCTGGAATGAAGGAGGCGAGTCCATGTCACCCGTCAAGGTAGCGCACCAGCTGACCCAACACATTTTCGCTCACGTAGAACTCGCGCCTCTCGGTCATGCTCAAGCTGGCCCGATTGGCGGACGAAGTGCAGCGAGCTGGCCCTGTTGTCGGTCGAAGCGGGTATCAGACGAGTGCTCGATCTGTACGAACGGGTCTTGGCTTTTCACGCCGAGGTGGGCGGTCACTTTGGGACGCCGTCGAACACCTTCGGATCGAGCTACCTCGCGAGTTTGATCGGGACGGCGACTATCAGCGGACGTTGGTGCTCTTTACCATCTACGGCATGTACCTTCAGGTCGAGACGTTGTGCCTGCTACGCATGCTCCAGCTGTGCGTCTGGCGAGCGCTCGGACGGGACGGCCTTGGGAACGTCGGACTCGAGGCGGATTAGTACGTCGAGGCACTGGCGGACGAGTGCGTCAAGACGGCCTGCGAGACGATCGACATGTTTGAGCGGCACATCGCCATGTACCCGCATACTCCTGAGGTGCGCGTTATTCGACGGGTTTTCCTTTTGCTGTCCAAGGTCGTCAGTGGCTGACCTCGTATCCCTCGCAGCTCTCGCTCTCGTCCATCTTTATGCTGTACGCCGTATCGATCGTCTATATGGACGTCCTCCGCCTGCCCGTCGTCGTCGCTTCGACACGCCACGCCGGGCACATCGAGTCGGCCCTGAAGAGCCTCGAACATTACGATCACCCGGCGGCGACCTTGGCCGAGGCGAGTCCCCCCCCGGCACCTCCTCGAGTCGAACCTCGATCCCTGTCTGCGTCCGAAAAAGCTGATCGGACGTTGCTTTTTGCTTGGTAATTCGCAGGCCATGTGTCGGGACTTGTTGGTCAACTTTATCGACGAGACGGCAGCTCATTGTGGCCCCCCACGACCTCGTTTGAGACGGATCGCCTTCTCTTGGCGGATCCGTATTCACAAAGTCTATATGGCCAGTATTTCCAAGTTGCAGACTGGGGCAGCGGATCCTATCAATCAGGCCAATCTGTGACGAGTGCTATGCCTTCTTACCATGCCCGGGATCCAACGCAATACACGGTAGCCTCGCGTACACCCAATGCCGCGACAGCGGAAGGATCTTCTACGATCTTCCTGCAATTTAACGGACCGAATTTATCGCTGAGATCCATTTACACCACAGCATCGCACAAGAACGGGCAGCTGCAACTATACGAGCAGATAGACTCCAACAGCACCAAGACATGGTACGTCATGACTCTGCAAGGCGAGTTCAAGCTCAACTTCAGTCCAGGTCGCGAAAGGGAAGCAACCGAGAATGATGATGCCACGCAGATAGCTTCCAGCCGTATGCAGCAGAGGGTCGAGCGTTTGAAGAGCAGATGGACCCTGCTCGTCGGCCTGGTGGACTCTGAGAAACTGTCAGGTATCCCTGAGGACCCCGCTTTCTTTCGTCTGGCGCAAAATTGGGAGGTTGACAGCTTCTTGGGGCAAAAGCAGATCGCTAGGCTCACAAAAGAACTTCTCGTTCCCTTGACCCTATTGTCTCGATCTGACGCTTCATCTCATACTCCTATTCGTGACGATACTGTGTGGACCCAAGTCAACATTTCGCAAGTCATCAACTCCATCGCATTCTTGGAAGAGTGGATGCTCGCACTGGATGTCGCGCGAAGCGTAGCTGATCTGCTAAAGCTCGAGGCAGGGACGAGGTTGTCGTCTTACGAACGACTGAATAGCGGGGTCATCTTATCCTTATACGGGCAGTCGAAGTTCATGCGGCCTTATTTTGGAGAAGCGTGACCCACGAGTGATTGAATAAGCCACACATGATTTAGCAACCGACGTAGTTAGACCTTCTCTTCTTCACATTCCGATCGGCTGAAACATTTACATCGTGAAGGGGTTTCTCTTTGTATTCTTTCCATAGATTAACATGATTCAGGATCTTCTCTGTTAAGGAACCTCTGGACTACCCGACGAACGGTAGTACAATACACATCCTTGGCCAGAAGCAAAAAACATTGACAAGCCTTTGCTACGTGTCTCCTTTGATAAACAAAAGGCGTTCCTCAGTTTACCTTCCGAGATAGGGTTCTCGAAAGCTATAATGACACGCCTATGTAGGCTATGCCGGCAACTTAGGGATATTCGTCCTTACTTCTACCTATCAGCTACGCATCAGCATCACAGAGATTTTGTACTTCCCGCTTTCACGCCTCTGTTCAACCGGTTATCACATCATGTAACACGAGGATTGGGCGCACCCAGAAATGGATCGCGGTACGCTTGACCCCAGTACAATCCAACAGGGATACGATCAAAGATCGTGAATAGGAGGGTTTGGTCACACCGATAGTCTGGCTTCCGGTATCTCACATGACGCTGGCTGGCAAGACAACCCACGTCCAAACCTAACGGCTGTTTCGGTCCCGCCTTATCATCGAACAGGCAGGCTTGGATGAATTTGAGCCTGGCATCGTTTCAGATCGAGAGTCACACAAGGAAGTGGCAACATGATGGAGCTGGTAGTGCTCCAGATCAGCTAGTGAAACGTCGGATCGGGCCAAGGTGGACCGCAATACCCTTGCCTATCGGCTACCGGGACTCAACCCGCCATGCCTCGCATGTTCATGTGCTTCGCATTTCAAGCCGATCGGGAACGGGATCCTCATTAGGAGCAGGCTTGCTCATGTCTATGATAAGCGGTACAGCAACCCCGAGACCACATGTTGAGACGCTGACGGGTCAAAGTCCAAGTCAGCTTGATATCCCCGCATTCTTCGATTTGCTTAGCGCTCCGCAGGTTTCAGCCACCAAGCCATCGCGCTTGTCTGCTCGTTCGAACACGACGACCGGTGCTTTCGCTTCACAAACTCATTCCCGCCAGACTGACGCCTCCGCAATAGCGGGAGGTGCGGTTACCCCCGATTCTAGTCAGATGGCTTCAGCTTATCCGGGAGGGCGACATCACCAAAGCACCTCGAAGCGCGCCAATTTGCACCGGAATAAGCCCCGTTATCGGTCGCGTCACCCAGCTTTGTACTGTCATTTGGCAGCTTCTGTCTTCTTTTTCCGACAGAGGAGCCGAGCAGCTTGCCAGATTGCCAGACTTCGAGAACGAAATGGAGATTTGGCTATAGAGCTACTCAGCCTCGTCTCGATACTCTTGAACGAGTATGGCTTCTCTGTGGACATCCGTGCTTTCGCTCATTCAACAACAGCATTCCAGCCAGATCGTAACTGAAACGATCGCGGCGAAGATGACCGGTTGCGCTTGTTAGCTTGAAGATTCGAGAAGACATCGGCCGTGGTCGAAGTGTAAATCCGTTGGAACCTAGACAGTGGAAAATATCGCTCATCTACAGTGGCACATCCTGTCGCTCGACCTGGGATCTCAAGTCAGTAGTGCGATGAACATTGATGCGGGAACAAGGCTGGGGGAATGCAAATCTATCAATCGAGCAGAAGCATCTGAAAGTAGTGTAGACAAGGGTTAGGAACATGGTGTTTTCCGCTAAATAGCTGTTATGTGACTCGCTCAGGAACTATGTAGCCATCAGCAATATGCACATGTTCCAATCTGTCTGCTTCCAAATACTATAGAGACGTCTGTTCAGGATTATTGCCAATACACCTTGTTTGGCATCACATAGGTGACATCAGGCGTTGCTGTGTCTATTTCGCCTTCCATCACGTCGATTGAGGAACCGCTGAAACGTCGTATCCTCGATCTCGACTAGTTCCTTTGATTGACAAGAGGCAGAATGCGGCTGGTCTTAACAAGCCGCAATGGCTTATGGATAAATCGGTGATGTTGCACTCCCCAATTCCTGGAATCCACATCAGTGTAATACGCTCGCCATTACAGCGGAGAGGTGTCATTCTGATGGACATCGAATTGTGATGAGATGATGCAAAACCCCCTTTACTGACCTCGTTCCCGGCAGTAAGCAGGGGACTGAATGACTGGAAAAGTGCATTCGAGCGGAAGACTCCCAGATGCCCGGTGTGGCCACTCTTCCATTCGCGGCCGCGAGCGACGCCAACGTTCGGAGGTTCCATGTACCTAGCGACCCATCGATTGGAAGACAGATCACAACTAGTGGCGAGATCGTGATAACGGGCCAGCTGAGCAGAAGTCAGCTACATCCACTCTCAGGATGGGCGTGGCGTCGAGAAAGCTCATGGTTCTGGCGCCTGGCGACAGACATCAATTGGTATGCACGCTTCTGCTCGCGATCGTCTACGGACCCATTGACCTGCATACCCAAGTCTCATAATCGTGTTCCAAGGCTTTGCAAGCCAAGGGTTCAGGAACACGTTCGGCTCGTAGCACACAGCATCGCAAAATATCCGCAGACGCGCTATTCATTCTCTTGCGGTCTTTCAGGACGCAAGGTTCAAGCCAGCCCGAGGCTGTAGAAAGTAGGTGCGCGCGGGCGCATGTAATCAAGGATTACCGGGATTATTTCCCCAGGATTACTGGGATTATTTCCCCAGGATTACTGGGGACTGGGGTGATGCTTAGTCAGCATCACCCAAGCTGGGACCTCACCCCGGTGATGAAAATCTCGGACAACTAGATCATCAATATACACCACTTGACTGTTAGATCTCAAGCAATATCTTGAGTTCTAACAGGTCAGTACCTTTGTATTGACTGATAGCACATGCCATTGATGAAGCAATATCTTGAGTTCTAACAGGTTATGAGCCCAGCTGTTGACCCGTCTTCTCTACGTGTCAACTTCTAATCAGCCACGTCAACAGATCGACCTAGAACTTGAGATAGACCAGTCAGATAGACATCTTCTGCTACACCGGATAACAGGAAGACTTTCCCTTCCCTAGACATTAGTAAACCGACCATCTCCATTACCTCGCTGTCCTTCACCATCATGTCTGACGACGAGATCACCACCAAAGGACCCAAGGTCATTGTCCTTGCCCGAGCCGGGGTCAACTATGTCGAATGGCTGGAATCCATTCGAGACCTCTTGGCCATCAAACGCCTGCTTCCTTATGTGAAGTATGATGCCAAGGGTGAGCCGGCCAAGCAGAGACCGGTTCTTCCGGAAAAGGGGGACATCACCGAGAAGATGACGGAGGCCGCTGAAGACTACGACCTCAAATGTGCCCAGGCTCTGGGTTACATCCGGCCTTCTCCTGGGGTCAACAAGCGATCGATCCAGGGGATTGATCACCCTGCCAAGGCCATGTACAAGATCAAGGAGATCCACTCCAAGACCACCTCATTCGATGTCCAGATCCTGATCGACGAATTCGCCAACCTCCGGCCCATTGGAGACGACTTTGAGGGGTACATGGCGAGGTTGGATACGGTGGTTGAGGGTCTGGAGGCCAACGGGCTACAAAGGGAGGATGTGGAGATCATGGCCCAATGGTCTAAGTGTCTTCGATCCTACCCGGAAGGACACCCTTACTTCAAGGCTGGAGAGTTCCTTCAGTCGAACATCACCATGGGGGTCGATGTCAAGAAGGAGTCGGTCGAGAGGATGATTCTGGCCGCCTACCGTGACATTGCCAACAAGGAGATTGCCGAGAAGGCCTTCCAGGCAATGGCAGCCAAATTTGGTTATGCCAAGATTGGGACCACCGGAGTTGGATTCGGGACCGGTGGTGTTGGGAGGCGGACCTTTGGGACCGGGACCGGGACCGGGACCGACACTAGGACCTGCAGGTGTTGCGGGCAGAGGGGGCATATCGCCAGGGAGTGTCCTCAAGCCGAACCTAATGGGTGCCACTCCTGTGGCAAGGCGGGACATCGGGCTCCCACCTGCCCTCACCCAGACATGGTTGCCTACAGGCAGAGGCACGGAGGAGGAGGATCGGGACCGGGATTTAGAGGTGGTGAAAGGGCCGCTGCCGCTGTATCTTCTTTTGATGCTGCTATGCAATCCATGACCCTCTATCAACGTCAGCCCAATCAAGCCTTGAACATCACTGAGAAGGCTTACTCACTTGCGACTAGGAAGATGACAACCCTGATCGATTCAGGTTGTTCAAGACACATGTTCGGGATGAAGAGGTTCTTTGACCTATCCCCAAACTATCAGAGAATGACTGCACCTGTCATGGTTGGAAACGGACAGGTGATCTATGCTGAGGGGATGGGCGACATCTTCTTGACCATCGAGGTTGGAGGAAAGAAGGCAGAGCTACATCTTGCAAACTGCCTGTATGTTCCCAAACTCAGTTCGAATCTGATCTCGATCTCACAGCTGGACAAAGCCGGATCGGACATCATGTTCACGGAAGGCAAGGCAATCTTGAGGAAGAACAACAAGATGACCTTGATCGGCAAGATGTTGGATACCAACCTGTACGAGGTCAATGCAAAGTCTCCGGCATTACCTAAGATGGATTCAGCCAACACGGCATCGATCTCAGGACTGGGGAATATCTGGCATCAACGGCTGGGACATCTGGGTGGGAACTCGATACGGAATCTTAAGGATTCGGTGGACGGGTTTGACCAAACGTCTGTCCCACACCAGTGTGAGAGCTGCATCCTGGGAAAGATGACAAGAGCTTGATTCCCGGACAGCTCATCACGGTCAACAGAACCACTCCAGCTGATCACCTTCGATCTTGCTGGGCCTTTTGATGAGGCTATCGGAGGAGCCAAGTACTTCATGATCATGGTCGATGATTACTCCAGATACTACCATGTCGAACTCCTCAGGACCAAGTCAGAGGCAACCCGATGGTTGAAACAAGTTCTGACTCAATGGGAAAATCAGTTGAGTCGATCAGTCAAGGTTCTTCGGTCCGATGGTGGGGGAGAATTTGATAACAGAGCGATCAGCCAGTTCTGTGAAGAGAAGGGGATCCGAGCTCAGATGACTACAGCTCGAACACCGGAACAGAATGGGGCAGCAGAGAGAGCTGTCCGGACCATAAAAGAGGGTACTCGGACTCTCTTGATCGATTCCGGTCTCAGTAACAAGTACTGGGGTGCTGCTGCAAAGAACTTTGCATACGTCAGGAACCGGACCCGGACCGCAAAGACAGGAGACAAGACACCGATAGAACTCTTCACTGGAAAGAGACCGTCGGTCAGTCATCTGAGGGTGTTTGGATGTGTCGCTTACATGTACATACCAAAAGAAGACCGGGTTGGTCAGATCTGGAAACCCAAGGCAAAGCGGTGCATCTTCCTTGGATATGGAGAGGAAGAGTCGAAGGCCAAGAAAGCTTGGACACTCTTCGATCCCTATGCTCTCAAGAAACATGTGACGGTACATGTCAAATTCTGTGAAGACCAGAGATGGGCCGATCAAAAGACCAACATCGCAAAAGGAGACATCTTCTTCCAGGACATCTCACCTGCAATCGGGGAAGCTGAACTGACTGTCGGGGAAGAAGCCCAACCGGTTGATCCAAAGATCAGGGAAGCTGGACCGAGGATTGATGAAGCTGAACCGGAGATCCTGGATCCTCGAGCGGAGATCGGAGAAGCCCAACCAGAGATTGGGGAAGCTGAGCGAGAGATGGGGGAAGTTGAGCGAGAGATTGGGGAAGCCGAACCTCAAATAGGGGAAGCCCCAGTTCAGCCAGCAGGACCGATACCACTGCCGCCAAGTAGGATTCCGGTCCCGGTGGATCAACAAAGCACTCGGAAGAAAGGGACTGGTATCTGGAAGAACTATGAGTATGTTCCAGTACCAGCTCAAGGATCGGGGATTCCACAGGTCTTACCGGATGGTGCAAGACGATCCCGACAAGCTCCAAAGAGATTCCAGGATCATGCGGTCATTGCACACGGACCCAAGCTTGAAGACATAATGGATCAAGCTTTCTTGACATCGGCTGAGATGAATCCTGCCGATCCCATCTATCTGGATGCGAAGCTGGATGAGATGGCATCGATGGCCAAGAATCAGGTCTGGACCCTGGTCCCGAGGCAGACCGGACAACCAAAGCCGATCTCAGTCCGATGGGTCTGTACCATGAAAGACCTACCCGATGGTACTCAAAAGCCAAAGGCCAGACTGGTTGCTCGGGGCTACACCCAGAAAGCTGGGATCGACTATCAAGAGATCTTTGCCCCGGTTGTCAAACTGGAATCCATTCGGTACATCATCGCTCGAGCGTGCCAGAGACAGATGGTTCTGTCACAAGGTGACGTCAAGACCGCCTTTCTCTCCAGCAGTATGGAAGGAGAGACCGTCTACATTGAACAGCCTGAGGGATTCAAGGAACCCGGGAAGGAGGACCATATCTGCCTATTGAACAGAGCGATCTATGGTCTCCATCAATCTCCTCGTCTGTTTTACCGGCACATCAGAAAGATCCTGGGTGGATTTGGGTTCTCATCAATCTCAGCGGATCAGTCGGTGTTTGTCAAGGACACTCCAGAGGGAAAGGTGCTACTTGGTCTATATGTGGATGATGCACTGGTAGCCGGAGACACGGACAGCTTGGTCCAGGAAACCAAAGCCTTGCTCAACACCAGGTTTGAGATGAAGTGGACGGATGATCCCAAGGTGTTACTGGGGATCGAGATCGAACAGGACCGGGAGAAGGGAACCATCACCCTATCTCAAAAGAAGTTTGCTCGGGAGATCCTGGAACAGTTCAATATGATTGACTGCCATCCCGTCAAGACTCCAGTGGAAGAGGTCATCAGCGCATTCCCACCTGAAGACCGACCACCACCTGATACCAGGTTTCCTTTCCGGGAGTTCATCGGAAAGGCGAATTATCTAGCTCGGGGGACACGACCGGATCTCTCCTTTGCAATCTCACACCTCGCATCATTCTGTTCGACCTACCAGGAGACACACTGGAAAGCGTGTGAGCGGGTAATGAAGTACCTTCAGGGCACCATCGATGCCAGTCTTGTCTATCACCGAGACGGCAATCAGAAAATTGCTGGTTACTCGGATGCTGAGTATGCCGGGGACAAGGGAGATAGGAAATCTGTTGGGGCATATGTGTTCACATTGGCCAATGGACCGGTATCATGGCAGAGCAAGAAACAGACCACAGTAGCCTGGTCTAGCACGGAGGCCGAATACATCGCTCTTGGATCAGCTGGGAAAGAAGCAGTCTGGCTCTCGATCATGGATCAGGAACTAGGATTTCATGATGGTAAACCGGTCACCATCTTTGAGGACAACCAGCCAGCTATCGCATTGGCTAAGAATCCCACCAACCATGCTCGGACAAAACATATTGATGTTTTGCACCACGCTCTTAGGGGACTGATCGAGGACAAGAAGATCGAGGTCGAATACCTCAACACTAAACAGATGATTGCGGATCTTCTCACCAAGCCAATCACTGGAAAACAGCTCCAAGTACTTTGCGCTGACATGAATCTGAAGATCAACAGGGCACCTACATCAATGTCGTCCACCTCTGAATAGAGAAGTCCGAGGGGAAGTGTAGAAAGTAGGTGCGCGCGGGCGCATGTAATCAAGGATTACCGGGATTATTTCCCCAGGATTACTGGGATTATTTCCCCAGGATTACTGGGGACTGGGGTGATGCTTAGTCAGCATCACCCAAGCTGGGACCTCACCCCGGTGATGAAAATCTCGGACAACTAGATCATCAATATACACCACTTGACTGTTAGATCTCAAGCAATATCTTGAGTTCTAACAGGTCAGTACCTTTGTATTGACTGATAGCACATGCCATTGATGAAGCAATATCTTGAGTTCTAACAGAGGCGTCGTACAGATCACCTTGGTAGCCGGGAATGGCGCACGCTCATCATGCATCATGCTATTGATCAAGTGCCGGACACCCTCATTTCTGACAGTCAGCACCGATGCCTTCTCCCTGTTTATCTCGTGTGTTACTTGTTGTCGTGGGGACTCTCAGCGTGAAGAGGCTAAACGGACATCAGGAAACAAATTTCAATGTCCGTGCGCGTGGGAACAACAACAACAAACACATCAACTTCGCAGATACATCATCATCGTCCATATTCCATCATCATCAACATCGATCACCGTTGAATCGTCGACATCAACATCTTGGTCATCGCATCGCCCATTGACCTCTTTGCATATTCAGCCAGGAAGCACTTTATATGGTAGCAGAGACACCAATCAGCAACGCGGACGGCATACGACGCTGGGCTAGGTCGGTCGCCGCATTGGGACGGGGCGGCAAGTCTACCAATATCACAGAGAATCAAGACACCGGATCTAGTTCAGACGAAAGTAACATCAAACGTCCCGAGGACCTTCGACGACGCCCGATCCCGCCTCTTTCTGATATCAGTAGTCAGAGTCTTACCAGCCCGGACCCTGTGAGTTTGCAGCCAGTCACGTTGTGACTCGCCTCCTTTCGCTGATCGAATACGGTGTCTCCCCTGCTCGTATCAAAGTCGGACTCGATCGTCCAAGACAAGAACGCTGTAAGTAACTACAATCCGAAACGAGAATCATATCTCGCCTCGCCCGCTATCGCTGATACGTTGGCGCTCCTTCTCTCAAGCTAAACTCGGATTTCGACGACAGCGACCTCGATCCGAGCGACTCGATGTCTCAACTCGGCGAATTCAACAAAGAGCTGGTGCCGTCGGCCATCGAACCTCCCGCCAACAGATCCGATATCACTGCAGGTGATGGTACGCCCGGTTATTATCAGTTCCGGCTTCAGGCCGCGGAAGTGGTCCCCTTTCAAAAATGTATGCACGAGCACTTTTACCTGTACGACATCTTCGGAAATGTGGTAAGCAGCCGATTATCCTTGCACGACGAGCGGTATGAATCTGATCAGCTAGTCGGTGGTGTCTTAGGCTACACTGCGTGACATCGCCGAGAAGCGAGACGGTTGGGCCGAGGCGGTGACAAGCTTGAAAACCCTGGCGACGCAACGCATAACTCTCGTCTGGCCGGAACAGAAATTAGATGGAAAGATGCAAGTGGTCTTGGAAGTAAGTTGCGGAGTCCGTCGCATGTGTCCAGCTTTAGATAGTGGCTAACGCCGTCTGGGGTTTCGCATTCATCGTTGCCACAGAACTGGCTCAATCCGAAACCTAATGACCTTCCGGTAGCATACGTGGTCACTAAGCCTGGAATCTGGAATCGTATCCCTGCGAATATCACCCACTGCCAAGATCTCTCACAACCCGACTCCGATATGACTATCAACATCGACCCAAAACATCCAAACCTGCACGAGCTCATGAGAAAATTCGATTACTACGACTTCGAGTGGGACCCCTCGTCCGGAGACCATCCGCTATCGGCTAGAGCCATGCTTCGCATCGTCCTGGATAAGTTGACGAAAGAGAAGGCGCCGCTCAAGAGCACTAAGAACTACCCCGGTTTTCCGCTTCTGTGGGAGCTGTTGCTCGCGGAGTTCAAGGTCACGGGTTCGCTTGCTCACAAGGATAGATCCCCCGAAATGAAAGTAGCTCGCAACCAGGTATGCGCGTGGCCCGCTTTTGATGAGACGGAGTTCATACTGATCATAACCCCGGATTCCAAACAGACGGAAAATGCGATGTTTGTCCAATTAGCGACCTTCGCTCAGCTGTACATGGACGTGCCTCTGGAGGGCGACAAAGATTTCGAACGTTTCGTGTTGTCGATGACGATCTGTGGCGAGTTTTGGACTGTTGAATATGCCTTCAGGATGTCAGCGAGAGCGACCCGTCACGAGGTGAGTCTCATGACTCGAGCGTACGGGTGGATGCGATCACTGATCTCCGTCATGATCAGACTCGTTGCAGTACGATCGCGAAGGGGAATTGGGCCGAAGACCCGAAGGCCTTTCTCGGTGCGATCCAGCAAGTCATGGAGGAGAACATGCGAAACGTGGCCGATGCGGCGCGACGGATGGAGGTGCTGATGAATACAGCCAAAAAGCTGCCTACCAAGATCCCCAAGTTCGAAATACCCGCTCGCGGCTACACGAAAACCCCGAAGCCAGCGGAGGGGCAGGAGGTCAAGAAGCCGGAGCAAGCGGAAGAGCGGGGGGGAAAGATGGGGGAGCAGGCCGCTACTGGCATCGCGATAAAGCAGCCGCAAGATGCCAAGGCTGAGTCGGTAGACGAAGCGGAGCAGAGCGGGAAAGAGAAGAACAAGACGAAACAGGCGATGCAACAAACGGGAAAGACGGCACAGATGGATACGACGGAAAAGACAATAGCCGAGGAGATGCTTTCGCAGAGTGAAGGGGCGGTGATCAGTGTGAGTAATGTGCAAGGGGAGTTCAAACCGAGAGGCCATGGCTCATGTGGAACACCATAGGAGCGTGCGACGACTCCTCCGGCTATCTACGTCGGAGACGAACCGCTCCAAGCACCGGGGACAAGCCCCGAGGTGAGTCTGCTCATGATGCGCCGAAAAGTCTTGGCCGCTCACTACGCAAATTCCAGGAATCGAGTCTGACCAGATCGATGGTGAACCTCCAACTAGGTCGTTCCCGTCCCTAAAGGCCCCGCTTGGCTACTAAACGCTACGGCCACTCGTCCCAAGAGGACACGACCCGTCGTTAAATGCTACGGACAAATCTTTACGGAAACGATCGATTTCTCAACGACGACAGACCTTACGATTACGCTTTTGAAACACTTTACGAATACAATCACATCGGAGCCCGGCTGTCTGAAACACACGTACACATATATAGCTATGTACGTATATATCGCCGTGTACTTATTGGTTACCATCGAACCACTTTCCAATTGTGTGTTTATGTATAGACCGTAGCCTGGCTGTAGCCCGGGCACACAACTCTATTCCTGTCTACCAGTACTCGGGAGCCGGTCTATATGTGTCACATATCTATGTCAAGAACGATGTAGCGATGAACTTATGAATGTCTGGGACAAGGGAAACGCATGATTGAAAGCGCATTGACTATCACTTCATCATTGTTACCGAGACCTCCGCTACCTAGTCCCGCATTGACAGCACATCGAGCTATATGCTTGGCATGTACATGGTGACAGCCTGAGAGCTGAGGTCACAAGATTGAGCTGACCTGGACGCAATCGTCCGTACCCTTACCATGCCTCGTATGTTCTGGCAACTGCCACTTTACCAGGAGACGCAGTGCCACTTGAAGTGGTATATTCAGTAAGGCCTTGGTTCGTCCCGAGTGAATATCTGCTTGACCGAAAGACCTACCTGACCCGCTGATACCATCTGCATCTACTGAGAGACTGTCGCTAAGCTCTCGACGAACAGCACGTGATTGCTCGATGGCGAACACGGTGACGTCTCGATGGGACGGACCAAGAAGAGGTTGCGATGACAAACGCGACGATCGTGTAGGCGATCAAGTACGGACGACGACGATGATCTTGACATTTGTGAATTATCGCGCTATCGCATAGCTCTGGATCAATTGATCAAGCAACAGGTCGCAGATATAGTGAGATCGACAAGATTACAAAGAACCTCATAGTTTGGACCCGGTGTGGTGTTTGAGCGTTCGTTACTCGGAACGCCGCCGAGGTTGAGAAGGGGGAAAGATGCAAAAAGGATGGTCAGATCGATCGGATCACTACTTCTCTAGCTCTAGCTCATGAAAGACGTTGGGGTACTACTATTTGGTCATCAAATTCGACTCTACTAGGGGTTAGTCTCAAGTCGCAAGTCGCGGTTCCCTAGGGTCGCCCCCGGGGTGATTGGCACTAGGGAAAGGTGACCTCCTCGTAGAGAGATGGATGAACACATATACACATGGCATCGACTGGTGATTGATAAACCATCATGTACCCTGCTTCATCCTGAGAGCTAGTTAGTATCACCAATGCCAGTTACACAGCAACTACCATCTCGGTCGGTATCCAGAGATCTTGGAGATCATGGTCCTTTAACGAACGACCATGGATATCGGCACCACTACTACTGTAACGCCCATGAACGACCCTCTTCCACCCCCGCCCCCGCCCCCGCAATTACAGGACGAACTCGTTCAATGGGAACGTTTCCTTCGATCCTACTCTCAAGGCGGGTTCATGGCCGACCAAGCTCCCTGCTCTCCGCCTCTCCCTCTTTCGAAACAGACACCCTCCGGCCAGACCGACAATGTTAACGCTTCCAATCCTGAAGAAGCATACGCGTTCAACGTCAAAGAATTCCAAACGGCCCCGGTTTATGATCGGGTAGAGATCGACTTGAACACAGCGAAGAGGGTCAGGACTTTTATGCTAGGTACGGGTTCTTGCCTCCTCCGAGAGGGTCGAGGGAGCCGGAGAGGGAACGGTGTGTCGAGGAGTATGATCTGTACTCGGCGGATCAGGTTCGTCGTCTGGGTATCTCGATATGGAGTCTCGTTCCGGCTAGTGATTCGTTGTTAGCTGATCGTAACGTGCTATGTTCACCAAATATAACTCTCGACAGGTCGAAAACTTCCAATCAACCGTCGACCTAGTCCACGCCTTCTACGGCGGTAAATCCATCGTGACATTCACCCTCTTCCGCGGATCTAGCCAGGAATTCATGGCCGTCCAAGGCGACCCCTCCACCTTAAAAGCAGCGGGGTTGAAGAACGGCATGAAGGTCTTACCAGAGTCGAGCATGTGTGGACATTCGGTACTGTGGACGGACCAGGATTTGGTGGTCAAGGATTTGAAGGAGGATTGGAGGTACCGGTACGTCGCCTAATTCTTTCTCTTTCTTTTGGGTAGACGTTTGCGTTGTCCCGTCTCGACCAGATGAGAACCGAGCTGACCTTGCCAAATCAACCTTGTCGATCATGGTGGTCTGGCGATATGACGTCCACAGTGGGAACCCATACGTCGCCCCGGACGGTGGATTACGGTCTTATCGAGCCTCGGTGGTCACCCTCCAGATCGACCCGACGAGGAGGGACTAGGATGAGAGGGTCGCTCTCGGGGTCATCAACGTCATGTCCACCAAGCCGATGTCATCGTCCACGAACAGCAGCATCAACAATAACAATGTCAACAACAACAAAGGTACAAATGACATCAAGATGGGAGCCGACGACAAGGTCTTGAAACAGCTCACGAGGATACTGGAGAGACAGCTCAGGAGCACGTGGGATGGCGTAGGAAGGCTCAGAGCGGCCAAGGCCAGAGCGGTGGTGTCCGAGTTGACAAAGAGGGTCTTGGTGAACAATCACGGATCGAGGACAGATTCCGGAAAAGACTTGTCCGAACGCCATGCCGGGCTCGCGGTGGATAGCATCCGGCAGGTATTGAGCCGTGCGAGTGCGGTGGGAGTAGTTGATATGCGAGGGATCGTCGCGAGGGTGAGTTTTGAGTGCCGTAGAATAACTTCTGGAGGGGTCGATGATTCGGTCCAGGTGCTGAAAAAATGGCGAATCGATCCGGATCAGGAACTGCGAGGTCGGACGGTGTACGCCTTGGATCCGGATGCCATCTCCACCCATAAGTCTGTCATGGCTCAGAACGGACCGGTCGGGCTCGCTCTCGATGCCCATTTGCTGGCCGACTACCTTGAGAGGCGAGGTGCCGGGCCACAACATTACGACTCGGGCAGCACGTCCGGATTGGAAAGATGGCTGCCCAGCTCGACGCAGGGTCATATCGTGGTCCCATTCATGACCGAAGCACAGCCTCTTTCCTGCATCGTGGTGACGACCGATTCGCCTCACCTGAAGTTCACGCGGGAAGATGAGAGCTTCATCAACACCATTGGCGTGATCCTCGGAGCGTACATTTTGCAACGACGGGTCGTAGCTGCGGACGCGTCCAAGACGACCTTCTTGTCATCCATCAGCCACGAATTGCGGTGAGCCGAACCAGGCGGTAGATGCGAATGTGACGACGGAGCTGACCTCGTTTCTGGCCCGACAGAACGCCTTTGCACGGGATCTTGTCGGGGCTCGAACTGGTCCGCCCACATGTCCAGAGCGAGGCGAGGGAAGCGATGGAGATGGTCGAATCCAGCGCGAGCACGTTGGATCACATCCTGAATGATGTGCTCGACTTCGCACGCAGATCTCGTGGCGAACCGAAAGCCAAGCAAGAGGTGGATCTCGAAGCGCTCACGAGGCAGACCATGACGATCGGTCGGGCGGAAGGCAAGGGGCGATGTCGAGTTGGTGTTCGAATCGACCCCGATGGACTGGTCGGTCAGGGTCGACCGGGCGAGGTATCAACGGTGGGTCGGCAAACATCTTTTGCTCAATATGGTGTGTGGCTGACATGATGATAACGTCGTCAGTATCCTACTCAACGCGATTACCAATGCCATCAAGCATACGGTGAACGGATCGATCGTCGTCCGCCTCGAGCGTTCCCGGGAGCTGGATGGGTTCGTACTCGTGGTACAGGACACTGGGTGTGGCATCCCGGAAACCTTCCTCAAGGACGTCTTTCGGCCGTTCACCAAGGCCAACCCGTTTGCGATCGGTACCGGGCTGGGTCTGTATATCGTCCGCGGGATGGTGCAAGAGATGGGCGGAACGGCAAATCTGCAGTCTCAGGTCGGATTTGGGACCCGGTTGACCGTCGCCTGTCCGGTGACTTTCCTGCGTGACGGACGGGCCAATGCGACTTTCTCGCCTGCTCAGAGGGAAATAATTGGACAGGTCAAGAATGGCGTACTAGTACCGACGCCTCGGAATAGCGACGTTGTGGTCACTCGAGACAAGCAGGCTGTTCCTATCATACTCAACAAGGCTGCCAACGGACTGGCTGACGGTGGACATGCTCGACCTCAAGCTGAAAAGACTAGCGACGACACGGAACCGACCCGCATCCTTGTGGTCGAAGACAACGACATTAGCCGCAAGATTTTAGTCAGGCTGATTCAAAAGCAAATGAAGGCTAATCGTGTCGCGATCGAAACCGCGGTGGACGGCATCGACGCGCTGGAGAAATTCGAAACATTTGCACCTCGAATAGTCTTGACGGACGTTTCAATGCCTCGGATGAACGGCGTGACCGCAGCGAGAGAGATGCGTCGGATAGAAGATGAACATGGATGGACAAAGACCCGCATTTATGCCATCACCGGATTGGGCTCGTCCGACGTCCGACTTAAACAAGAGGCCATGATGGGAGACGCCTCGCTGGACGGGTGGTACATCAAGGGTCACGACAACATGTCCCAGATGGTCCAAAAAATCGCAACGGATGCATAGTGCCATCATATTGCCGTACAGTATGGTACGCTCAAATCTCGATACAGTGCCAGAACTAGAAACGCAAACGAAACACCCAAATTGAACCTGCTACCAATCAAACTCTTCCGTATGGAGTTCCACATCCCGAACGTCGTGACCGAGAGCCATGCTCTTTTGTTTGGAAGCGACCGCCCGCCTCACATCGTCAGTGAACGACGTCGGCCCACACGAAGCGATCCCGACGCATCCCGGGAGCTCGAATGCGGACTCGAGGAGCGAGGGCAAATATGGGCGTTGATTGGAGATGGTCCAAGCGGGGTGAGGGCGGCTACGAGCAGAATGTCGATCAGTCTCGAGATGACAACAGGCAGACTCGTCGGAGCTGGGGACTCACCTCGGCTTTGCTCGGCATCGTTTCTCGGCTTCTCCAGCGTCGCTACCATCGGTCTTGGATTCGACTTGCAGGCCGTATTGAGCGTCGACTCCGGTCACGTGCAAGTGCACCTGGACCATCCCCTTGGGCGCCATGGCGATGGCGGCGTTGATCTGGTCCTCGAACCATGCTCGACAGGCTGCAAGTGGATCGCCCCCGCCGTCAGCTGGGTCATCGGGAAAGATCAAAGTCCAGCGTCCGACCCACCTTCATTCCTGACCACCCAGTGCAAGATGATGTGCTTGGTCTGCAACTCGCCCCAGACGCTACGCCGACAGAGGTCGTTGAGGATCGAGACGACAAAGCTGGCTCCGCTTCCCCCGGCGACGAGGACGGCGACGTGATGACGGGAGAGATCTGCACCGGATCCGTATGGCCCATCGAGCAGGACGGGGGTGGTAGCGGGTTCGAGCGAGGCGAGACGGGCACCGATCCCGCCCTTGACGTCTGTCTTGAGGACGATGACCATCTCGCGTTTGTGCGACTGCGATGGTGATAGACGAAGAGTGACGAATCGTCAGTTGTAATCCCCGGGCGTTAACACATATAGAATAGACGAGACGATACCCACGTAGATATTAGCGTCGTTCGAGATGGTATACGGATGACTCTCCAACAACCTCGTCTTGCAAAAGTTGACAAAGACGTGTTGACCGGCCTTCCACTGATGTTTCGGCGTGGGGATGGTCAACCTGACAGCATCCCCTGGCAAGACCTCGATCTGGGCTTGCGGGACCCCACGGCCGTTCCTGAAGAGCATGAGGCCGAAACGCATGACCACGGAGATACCGTAGAGACCGGCTGTGGCGTAGAGGTAGTCCCATGAGGTGAGGAGGGCGTTGCAGTGGAGGTAGAAAAAGGCGCTGAAGAGGATGGCGGAGATGATGTGGAGAAGCTGTTAAATTGAATCGATGATCGTGGTCGATATGTATATGGTTTGATTAGCTTCGTCTTCTCATGATGGCGTGATCGATCGGAAGAGGCCGGAGACTCACCTTGAACATCTCGTACCACCGTTGTCGAAGCGGGGTCAACGAAGCGTAGCAGAGCCAGGTCAGGGTGATGAGCATGGCCACTCCCGTCCAGTAGTACTGTCAGCATATCAAAGAAAGCAAAAGCGGGGTGTATTCAGCACCTCCCAAGCATCCTTCGAGTGGGCTATCGGAGTGACGGGAGCAAGAGAGACTCCTACTCACCACCTTGCCGATATGCCAACTATACCCAATCTGCGTCAACCCCATCGGGTTCAACCCATCCTTATTCGGCCTGACTTCTCTTCCTGCCATGACGAACGGAAAAGTATGCAAAAGACTCAAAACAAAGAACAACTGGCTGAACCATTGATGGAACACTTGAAGTTTCTCGTGAGAATACCCGGTAACGAAGGTGACCAGGTTCCATTTGGCTCCGAAAGCGAGGATGAAGGGAAAGACGCCTAGGGCCATCATACCCGTCCGGATAGCTAAGGGTGGGGAGCCTACGTTCCATCGAGAGCGGTAGTAAGGGGTTACGGCGAAGCTCCAGACTAGGGACACGTGGGAAGGTTTAGGTCAGTACGGGTTCTATCAAGACGATGTATGAAGGGAAGCGGAGGCTCACCCAGCACAAACGTCCAGAATACGGCGAGGAGGAAGACGACTCCTCGAGTAGGAAAGTGTAGGTATCGACTGAACGTCGGCGTCGGGGCGGTCGCTAGGTATCGGACGGCCGCGGTCAGGCGGAGGATGGGTCGTTTGGAAGCGACTTTGGCACCGGTCCTACCCGCGATGGCAAGATTGGATATGAATGAGCACGAGGTGACGTATAACCTGGGTTGCCTTGTTTTGTCAACTCACTCGGTGAGCTTGTAACGTGACCACTGGTTCACCAAGGCGGCTAGGAGGATGACCCCACAGACGGCCCCGATGATGCCCTTCGTATCTGGCAAATCGACGAGTACGCGGGATGTTCGATTTCAAAAAATGGCCTAATATGCATGTACTTGGAAGCTTACATTTAGGAGAATCGTCGTAAGGATCGACGAGCATCTCGGCGAGTTCGCTCGGCGTGTAATCGCTAGCATGGCCATGTCGAGGTCGGAGCTGCATCTTTTCCTGTTGCGTGTTAGGTGAGGCGATGACGTGTCGATATCGACGTCGAGGTGCGAGATGGTGATCGGCCGGATTCAGATAACATTTGACGATTCCCACCTCCTCCCTTCCCAGCTGAGTCTTATATATACATCCCCCCCCCCCCCTCTCTCCCTGCTGCGCTTCGCTTGGCGTTTGATCGTGCGTGGTTGTGTCAAGTTTAACCGAGTTTGAACGCCAACGTCGATGAAACTGAAATCTGGTTGGACGGCGAAAACGGAGCGAAAAGGCGATACGGATGCAATTCGGGCCGTTCGGAGGTAAATTGAGGTGTTTCGGAAGTATAGTGAGCGGTTTCGGAAGTATATCTGCTTAGAGGCGCGCGCCATATTCGCCAGGCGATGAGCGGGTTTCGCAATGATCTCGTCTCGGATCGCTTCTCGACGTGCGCGATACACAACAAGCCGAATACGAATACGATGATCGACGATCGCGATGTACACTTATGAGCCGGAAAGAATTTACAGTCATACCCTAGCATCAATTCGAATCACTCGGCGACGATCAAGCCCATCGTCATCAAAGAAGACCATGTGGCCACCCACAGAGAGACTCTTCTGGTCTCCTCAACAGGTTGCAAAAAGAACGCCTCGCCGTCTTAATATGCCAATACTTCCGTCGAAAAGCGCTACAACGCTGATCACCTCTTTCCCACGTACATTCGATGTCCAGGGGTCAACCGCTCTTCAAGATAAAGCCCGGCTCGATCGTTCGAGTCCTGCGATTAAAACATGGTTCCGATACCAAATGCAGTATTTCGATCGTCAGGCGATATTGAATCCAACCCATCCAGACGGACTCACGTAGCCGGTATAATCCGATCCCAATTCCTCCAAGTACTTCTCATACTGTATACCATCCAAAAAAGAAACGTGTATCAAAATTTCGATCAGTCGACGGTACTTGTATAATATATACGCTTGCCTTTCTTCTCTTTCTCTTTCTTCTCGGTCGGACAATGATGTTAATGGGGAAACGACCTCACCTCTCGGGCTTCTTCCCGGGACATCACGCTCGGAAGTGCATGTTTATCGAATTTTCCATTAGCAGCTTCCTTCTCCCTCTCCCATCGCGCACGTCTAGCCACCCTGTCCTCCCTCTTCGCCCGTCTCTCAGCTCCCAGCTTGTAAGCATACCCTCGGATCCAGATGAAAGGACGGTACCGATAATCATGATCGTGGACATCGATCTTAGTGTTCCGAGGGAGAGGTTTGGCTTGATCGAGGAGGACTTGGATCCGTGCTGCCTTCTCCGGAAAGGTGTTCATCATGTTGATGTGTATGACTCGTTTTATCGCGGAGAGGAAGAGTTTGGGGGAGGTAGCGTAGTTGCCGGAGGTAATCGTGCAATAAGTTGTCTGTGAAGATGGTTATAGAGAAGCGATGTCGTTAGAACTCGTCATCCTGACCATTCATCCGATTTCGAATCATAGAGGAGTTGAAAGACGAAGGGCAAAGACTCACGGTAGGATCCTCAACCCTCGCTCGATAGGCGTATTCGACAGTCCAAATGTCCCCGCAGACCGTCATGGCCAAGATGAACCGGTCTAACCTCCCTTCTTTGTCTTTATCCGCCGGCAGTGGAACGTCCATCCGAAGCTGAGCGATGGCCCCAAGTTGAAAGTACATGGCGTTACACGCTCGGGCACGGGCGTCTTGCATCTGCACCTCCGGCGATCTGTCCTCGTCGACGGCGGGCCACGGGGTACTCCCGATCTCTACCTCCAAGACCATCAAATCATGGGCCATGAAAAAGTTGGGATGGACGCTCGTGCTCTTGACGGGCGCTCTCTCTTTGGTAGCAGGGTCCGCGAGGATACGGTACATCGCCACGTTCGATAACGGGTGACAGGGTTCTTCGACGTCTTCCACTGCGCTTCCGGCTTTCCCATCCGTGGGAGGCTTTTGGGTTTCGTGCAGACGCAGAGCTTTAGGGTTGCAAGGGTAGATACTGATGACCGTGTCGGGGTGAGGACGGGAGAGGTCGACCATCCCCCTGAGGTGCTTGGGGACGCGATCCCACACGTCTTCTTGAACCACGTAATGCCTGTCTTTAGGATAATCGGGGTTCAGAAAGTCCTGATGGTCAGAGAGGCGTCTTATTTTCATCAGCAATCAAGATGACGCTAGGCTCTATCCGGATGTGACAGACACGATCACACAGTTCGATACTAACTCGTATGATGATGTACAAACCGGCCCATAGACTCCGTTTCACCCAACTCTCGTCGATGCGGACTATGACCAGCGTTCTTAGTTCTATCAGAGCTTTTTCCAGGGCTTCATCTTCTGGCAATGCATCTAACAACACCTATAGAAATAGACCAGTTGTCGAGGTCAGGAAGATCTTTGCCGGGACCACACGACAAGGTCTACGCCGAAAGCGAAAAAGACCTTGTTCTCACCTCGCGCTTGAACGACTCGTACAAGAAACTATGTTCAGGGGCGGGTCCATCGTGGCTTTCGAACATCTTTGCGTTCTCTAACAGTCTAAAGTATTCTGCGTTGACGGGCAGGTCTTTCGGGCGGACTTCGTCGTCATCGTCTTCCGAGAGATCTGGGCTGGGGATCCTTTCGACCGGCTCGTCTTCTCCTGGCCCGCTTCCCGCCGCCGATCTGGTCGATTCGACCCAACGGTTTACAGAGTCGTGAGGGGCCATGTCGTTCGTCCGAGTGATACAGGTCGTGAAGATGTCTAGGATCAGACTACGAGTACGATGATGTTGGCGAGACGACGACGACGACGAGTAGAACGAGATTCGAACGCGGAAAAAGGATGATTAGGATTTCAGTACACCCTGATGCGATGCTCAATCACCGAGGCCGGTGCGCTAGCGGACATCTCGACGGGATTTGCCACGAGTGGCAGCGAGAGATGGGCAACGGAGCGATGTAGACTATACCATAGGCTGCACTTGGGGATTGCGAGGTAGTGTACGATGTAGAAGGGCAGAGGACCATACGATGTCCGGGCGGGAAGGGGAAGAGAAGAGCATGAACACCACGCTCGCGCTCGACTCGGTTTCAGCAGCGGATATCCGCGTCCGCCACCATCCACCTGACTTGATAACAAGATTCTCCGCGTCGTGGGGGCTTGGTGGCCTTGACGCTGCTTGGCTGCCTACACATTAGGTTCTGCTGGAGATTGGCGAAACGGACTTTAGCGAGAATCTTGTCATACGCTGTGCCAAACGCCCGTAAATCAGACCCTGTTCTTCTTATCCCACTGTTCATATCCCACTCTTCTTTTCATCATTCGGTCTCACATCCGTCCGCTCTGCTCTGCACCCAACGTTGATTGATACCATTCAGTCGTCCTCCTCGACATTGGCCAGAATACGCACATTCCTGCCTGGGCGCAGATCATTTCCGGACGAGGATCTGGATGAGGATGTGAATTGAGGATGTCGAGATGTGGGACATGGATTGATACAGATGTGAAGGTATGGTAGACGACACGGACCGAAATTATGATGACGAAAAACGACGAGCACGACAATTCAGAATCATAGAATGCACTTGGGCTCTCATCAAACAGCTTGTTGAGAGTAGACATCAGCTTGTCCGCCGCTTTCCTCTTTGCTTTCAAGAACCTTTATTCAAGTACGAGGAGCAGCAGAAGCAACACAGGGACAACCACAGCAAGATCATGGCTTGTCTCAACCGACTGGCAGGCCAAGACTCCATCGACAAGGTCCAGATCGCCGTTGACGATAACAAGGCCACCCTCAAGAAGGCCCTCAACGACGTTAGGATCATGATGTACAATTGATGTGTCGACTTGCTCAACAGAAAACGAGCACAGCAGTGGATTCCTCTGCGTGACATCGACAACAAAGACGTCGAGATCACATGCACGAGGCTGAAGTACATCAAGAGTCAGTCTAGTTTCAGGAAGGTCTTTCAAGTGCCAGCGATCAAGCGGGCGCATGATTGCGCTTTAGCTAGCGGTAATGGGAAAACTGAACCTCAACGCTTTGGCCAAAAGTACACCCTGGCCAGAATACTTTCTCTCGGATATTCCTACACTATCAACCCTGCGTGGATGTCAAACGCATCCGTCTTCTCTTCAAACGTCCCTCGAGGAATCCCCATCTAACCCGTCTCCGAATCACCGTCATCATCACCATCATCATTATCATCATGATCACCGGTCGACCATACACTATCTCTTCTTGCTAGCGATCCTAGACCTCTTCTCGCCCTTCGAATCCCTCGACGTGACGCCACCGTCCATGCCAATAGCGCACGCCAGCGAGACCACTCTTTGCCGGGATCGGGACGTACTTACGCCGAGTTGGTCCCATTCAAACAGCTTGCTCTGTAGGCTCGACCGGCCTGGATCTGGAATCCGATGGTCCCGAAGCCCAAAACCCGCCCTTCTGGACGCCCAAGCGTGAAGAGATATACTGTAGGAATTTGACCCTCGAGCTCGCTGCCGGGCGTCGACCTTTAACTCGTGTCAACCGGACGACCAAGATCGAGCCTCCAACCGGATTGTCGATTCCACCTGCCCGGGGCACCTTTCCCGCTCACGATGGACGCTGAACCATGACTAGAGTATGATCGAGACGCCAACCCTCTGCTCCTACACTCGCGCTGACATCTATCTCTCTTGTCGAACTAGTCACGGAAACGCCCTCAAAGCTCTCTCTTCTCTCTGGAATGGATCAAGGACGATCAATGATCATTGCATTGCATTATAGGTTTCGATACTCATTCCGGCTATCATCGTATTTACGTATTACATCCGAAAAACAATTGACAAGTTCCATTCTCACTCTGCTAGACAAAATAAAATGCACACCAGAACATTCGGAAATAACGTTCCAAAGACCCGTCCAGTGTTGGGGTGTCTCTCCGACGTTCGGCCCCTCATCCCGAGTTACACTCGGGCGGCGGCGGATCGCCAAGAGGCCCGGGATCGAGGCGATGACTGACCCCTCCATCCCGAACTCCCAGCGATCTCCCCGTATCGTCTCTACACTTTTACTGACTGCTCTTCGGCGTACTAGCCCTACTCAAATCCCCAATAGGCAGCGTAAAGTGGCTCGTATCCTTCGTCAACATGCCCGCCAACGCAATGTAGTACGCGATGAAAGCCGTGATGATCCCAAACGCCCCTCCTGCCGTGTGAACGGACCCAGAGCCTGTGAACTCGGCGACGAAGAGGAGGAGGAAGGTAATGTCCAGGAAGAAGAAGAGGGAGGAGAGGGCGATTGAGGATCGGAGGGAGGCTACGAAGAAGATCTGCGCGAGGCGAGCGTGGAGCGAAGCGAGCGCGAGGATGTCGAGCGCAGGATAGAGCGAGGATGTCGAGCGCAGGATAGAGCGAGGATGTCGAGCGCAGGATAGAGCGAGGCAAGAAAATATAGGTGAATCGTCAGTCACCGTATTCTTCCGGAATCACGACCACTCCATCGCGTAGCGGAAATCCCACTACGGAACCGCTTTCCCCCCCACCTCCCCCCCCCCTAACCCCTAAGACACCGGGCGGGACTCACAAAAGTGACGATGAACCAAGCTGCCAAGTAGATCCCCACGGCGTCCGCGAAATTGCCGGTGCCCTCGTAAGCTTCTACGATTTGGAATTGGGGGACTACGAGGTATTATATCACACGGTATACGGTACGGTATGAAAGGACATGTCAATGTTAGCTAAACGTATGGGTGAAGAAGAAGCCTAACCCCTAACCCCTAACCCCTAAGGCGAAGCAGAAGCAGAAGAAGAAGGAAGGTAGGAGAAAAATAGAGAGGAAGAGGAGAGCAAGGGTAGGAGAAGAAGAAGAAGAAAGAAAGAAAGAAAGAAAGAACACGCACTGTAAAGGAACCCAAACGAGATCCAAAAGCCTCCATAACTACTAAACGCCGTCGCCCCAAACGTATTCCCCACCGCAAACTCCCACATCCCGGCTAGTAGCTGTACCAACCCCCCGTACCCTATCGCTAGTCCAAGGACTACGTTCGGGGTAGAGACTCCTCGGGCTGAGACGTTGTACATGGATAGGACGAAGGTGGTTGTTGCGAAGCCCATTAGGCCTAGGGGGGAGGGGTTTGCGAAGCGGCGGTGGTAGACTGCGACGGAAGGACGTCATGTGAGGTTAGCAACCCCTACCGATAGAACGCAATATCAGGATCAAAGAAAGCAGAGTCGACGCACCTGGGAAAGCCGGCTGGGTGTTATCGATCGGGTTCCCCCCAGGGGTGATGAACCTAGCCACGCTCCCTCCATGTCCGCTGTTGTAGTCGTGGTGTCCGTTGGGCGAGTGAGAGCCGTTGACGACGGTCGAGGTCTCGGCGTCGGCGTGAGATCGCATGGGTTTGACTTCGTGGGACATCGTTTGCTTGGGGTATATTCGATGTGTTGTGTTGCGAGATGAAGGTGGAGAGGGTTGTTCGGAAAAAGTCGAGATGCAGATGAAGTGGTCGAAGAGAGTCGTTGGGGTTTGTGTTTGTATCGCAAGGCGTGTGATTGGATGAGCTCTCTCTGTTGCGTGTGTGTGTGTGGGGGAAAGAAGAGGAAATTGGGGCAACACGGTTTTCCGTGGAGACCCCTCTGTCTATATATATATTCTCTTCTTCGGCATCGCCAACCAGGCCAACCATCCAGGACCTTCGTCGCTTTCGTCGGGATTTGTCATTTCGATCATTCCCCCCCCATGCCTCCCCCCACCTCGTCCTTCTCTCCCCTTCTGCGGGCCCTCCACATCCCTCTCCCTCTCCCCTCCCTCGCTCCCCGAAAAAGTCCATGGAATCATCTCCCAGACAACGTGACCCACGCGCTAAAATTGGAATCGCGAATCAACAGCGAGGGGAGGGATATTCTCGGCCGACGTCATTTCTGGCGACGGGAGCTCTGCAGGCGGGGCCCGTTCCCTCATTCCCCTTCGAGCGTCTGATCTCTCCTGCTCGAACTGCTCGCTGCGTAGGGGGGATTCCCGTGGGGCTCTCTCTCTTTCATCTCGCTCTTGTCGTACCCGGCAGCCTACTCGAGCGATACTACGGATCTACCGGGAATCGAGCTCCACGGCCGTAACGAAGCGAGGCGAGCGACGAGCGAGCCCTTCATTTCCCGTTTCACGTGGTCGAGAGTGTCGAGGTGTCGAGCTGGAGACTGATCCCGACAACGACCCGCCGCCGATCGACTAGGGCGGTGGGGTTTTGATAAATTCGATGAAACGTCTTTTCGGAGTTGTGTAAATCATACAGAAAGGGGATCCCGACGATCGACGGAGCTTTCGGCCGCTATAAAGCAAGCAAGCAAGCGAGATGTCTCGTCGTCGAATGCGGCTTATCGACAGAGGTGTCTTTCCAGATACGCAGCTAAACACGTGAGAGCTATGGGGACGGTGATCGGACTCGTGCTCGTAGTCGTGATCGTCGTATTCATCGTATTCATCGTAACCCATGGATATACGTCGTGATGGGCATATGCTCGTCTCATCGAGGAGCAGAGAACCCCGATTCGGATGTCCCATATCCATCTCGTATCGAACGGGGTACCCCTCCCTACTTCAATGTCCTAGATTCGCATCTCCATCCCTCGAACCTCTGCATTACCGTCAGGACACGCCGGCTCGTCGATGACGTCAACCAGCAAGTCTCGACACATGGCCTGCAAATTACCAGCACAAAGATAACCCCTAAGCGGTGAGCTGTGTCCTATCGAGCTCGTTGTTGATGAGCAAGGGATCTCTGTGTGGCCAAGCGGACGACCCCATAGAACCCCCCACAAACACGATCGCTTCAGGTGTCGTGGGGTTGAGTGGCGTCTGTGATCTCTGGCTATCTTGATCTGCACTCGAGTTGATTTCTAACAAGGTATCCAGATCTTCTAGGGTAGACAGTTCAGTAACAAAGGATTCGGGTTGATACGTCTCCACATTCGGTAATTGATATCCGTATCGGCTTAGAAGCTGTCGGCCTCTTTTCGCAAGCTCGAAGGTGCAGTCGATCGTGATGCAGCTGGGATCGCCTAGCACGAGAAGCAATCGAGTCGCTGAGGCTATATAGACCAGGGCTGCGGGCCCTTCGGTTGATCGGCTGGCACCGTGGCCAGCATTCTATCGATTACGCCATTACATGAAATCAAAGGAAGTCAGTGGCGACACGTTTCGACGCATCATCAGCTGACGTCCATCACATCCTCTTTCTGTGGTGCTAAACGCAAACTAGTCTATCGGACTCCTTATTTTAGTCCATCGCGGTGCGAGCTTGAAGACGATGGCGCTGTAAAAACATCGCGATATATATGACGGCGGGAGTGCTTCGGTGATACAGTCCCGGTTGGATCGATGAAGACCGTCCGAACACAACGCTTGCGCACGCGAGGCTCGATTTTTAGGATGATCTGGACAGATCACATGCAAGCTCTGAATACTACCTGGAGCTGATGAGGATAATAGACCTTGTGGCGCGTTTTGTCGAGATTTGGGATACTATTGCAACGGAACACTTGCGCGTGCTCTTAACGGTCGGGTTTCAGCCTACGGACTGATTGATACCTTATGTATTCCTTGAGAGAATCACTTTGCAATCTCACTTCAGAATCGTAGCAGAATTCTTAGCAAGGTGGAAGAGTTCGGCAAGCTCACCAAGTGTTTTGCACGTCTCGGCGTTTGTATAGTCAAGCTTGAGTCTCATATTTCTGTCCCCGCGCGCCATTGTTGGTAAGTAGCCAATCGTTCGGCTTTCCGTTTCGGGACGACTGTTCGTAACATCACAGGAGATCCTTTTGAAGCCGATGACATGGATCTGCACACCGAAAGAGACAGAACAGTGCACCGTACATGCTCACAGTGAAGTCGTAAAACGGGTTTATCTGGATGTCTGATGAAAATCGCGGCTTCAGGGCTTGTCGACATGCTCACGAGATGGGATGACTGCTTGATCGTTTGGAGGACTATGCTGTAGGAAAGATCAACCAGTCGATCAGCAAGGTAAGTCCTGCCACAGGACAGTATTACGACATGCTCAGGCGCATGTCGTCAAGTTCTCGGCGTATATCGGATTCATCAGATGTTCGACTAAAGTACGACTCGCTCCACCCCCGGTTCAGACGACGTCAGGAAGTCATGTGGAGGCGTGAACAAACGAGATTATCATCCACCTTAGAATGGGATGGAAGATAGCTTCATCTCCTTCCTCAATACAACTCCACGGAACCTTCTGGTATGCGGCATTGCGCATTCTCCGTCATTATAAGTCGGGATCCGTTGTAAAAGCTGGACCCTCGTCTGCGGAGTTCGGGCGGAGTTGCTCTGTCTAGACCTTCATGCACTTATGGTACATTCACAGAAGATGCTCAGTCAGGAAAGAAGAGGGCATCAAGCTTGCGAGTTGTATCCTGTCGCTCCCGCGCTCTTCTCGTCTCTAACCTTTTGTTTACGTCTTTAGCGCAGTACTGAGACTCGTGCGACCGTCTCCCCTAACGATCTGGCGCGGTCGTTCGTGGCAATGCCAGAGACTTTGAAGCTGAATGATGGGTATATGTTCCACAGATCAGCAGGAAATCAAAAGGGGTGTGCCCGCACGATGTTCCAGTTTGCCCGCGCGGTTTCAGTAGCTGTCACCTCGCGCGCTTCGATCGATTGCTCGACGCGCGACTCGTCAGCCAAACAAGCCCGAGGCAACGATCGTTCCCCTGCAATCCGGCGGGCGACTGATGATATCAACAACACAACAGCCGAGTTGCTCGTCTATCTTTCAAGTCTGTCCACGCTCGGCCAAAGCGGAAGTCGTCCTTGACTGTTCGGTAATTGATCGCTGAATTTTCGATTCGAATATGCTCATCGGAAGCTTATCCGCTGGTCTCGTCGGAAGCAAATGAACGCGTCAGCGATCGATCGAGGTCGAGCTGTTGGAGATCGGATGGAAACGATTTAGGGAAGTTGTTGGATTCCGACCCTCAGCATCGATATCATCGCCCTCTTGACATCGTCTCGACCTCAGATTATAGTCCCTCACGATGACAACCAGCGAACTCTCGATCAATCCGCTCGACTACAAGTCATCCCCACCGGCATCGGGCGAGAAATGCGCCTGGGTCGTCTTCCTCCTCACCTCGCCCTCTTACCTTCCCGGTATCCTCGTCCTCGCGGCTTCTCTCCGTCGATACAAGTCCAAGTATCCTCTCGTGGTCGCCATCAACCCGGCTCTTCCTCCGGAGACTAGGTCGGCATTGCAAGAAGCTGGGTTGGAAGTCAGGGTCGTCCAGCCGTTGTTGCCCACGGGGAAAGTCACCATCATCGCCGAACGGTTCGTGGATACCTGGACCAAGTTGGCCTTGTTCGATTTCGTCGAATATGATGTGAGTCCGGCTTCAGCTCTTTTCTTGCCTGCTACACTATGGTACAATACTGATTACGCTCCTTCTCGCCCATCCCGGCAGCGACTGGTCTTGATCGACGGCGACATGATGCTCAAGCAGAACATGGACGAGCTCTTCAACATCCCGCTCGAACCCGATCAGATCGCTTGCAACTTTGCTTGCGTGTGCAACCTGGACAAGTCGAGTTGGGCACCGGAGGATTGGTGAGACCCCTAGCTTCTTTTCTTTCTTTGTCCATCCTCATCTCACCTCGTCTCGATACAACCAAAATCCGCATGACCCGAGTGCTAATCACGATGACTGTTTCCCCTTTGGCACTGCATATAGGACCCGAGAGAACTGCGGTTACACCCCCTCTCACCACCCGGACGCTCTCACCCACCCTCAACCCGCCCAGAGCACCACCCCCCGAACCCACTCTCTCCTCAATTCCGGGCTCGTCGTCCTCACCCCGACCCACGAAAACGCTCAGGTCATAAGGAACTTGTTGACTTCCACCTCGATCGCCGATCAAGAAAAGGTTGCGAGCTGGATGTTCCCGGACCAAGATCTACTCGCCGACGTCTTTCGGGGGAAATGGATCAGCTTGCCCTGGTCTTACAACGCCATCAAGACGATGAGGTATTGGCACGGGAACTTTTACAGGGACGAGGAGGTCAGGAATTTACACTATATCTGTGATAAACCTTGGCAACGACGCCCTCGGAGGAACTCGACGGAGGAAAAGGAGAGGACGGGCAAGGTGTACAGCGTCTCTCCGGGGGACTTTGAGGGGATCAAGGATGAGACCCTAGGGATCCCGGCCGAGGATGCGGATGCTGTGACGCACGGGTGGTGGTGGGAAGAATACGACGAGATGGTCGAGGGTATGAAGCGGGACGGGTATGCGTGGACGGATTATCTGGAGAGGTTGGTCGCTCAGTAGCGGAGAGGTCGGACAGAGAATAGTCGGTTCGAGGGCTCGTATCGGGGTTGAGGGCACGGGCAAGCAGAACAAATGAGGTGGTCATGGGGGATCACGTAGATACCGGCGGTGTTCGGAATGAAACGAAGGGTTCGTGGCATAACAAAAGACAGAGCGTGTATGTTAGATGACGAGCCGCTATGCAATGTGAACGTGTCGTATGGTATGGGTGTGTGGGCAGGTGCGACCACGACCTCGGACGACGTTGGACGCTCGCTGGCATGAATCGTGAGCGGGAAGCGTCTCTCGAGCTTGTACTGCGTGGACATCGGTGCTCCTCCCGAGTAATTCGAGGGGTCGTGAGGTCAGAGATAGAGATAGAGAGAGAGAGAGTAGATAGAGGCGACTCTGTGAGGTCCAAGAGGTCGGACTCTGACCCCTCACCCTAGGCGGAGCCGGCCGCGGTTGTTGTTGTTTGTTGTTGCGCGGTTTGCCAAGATCTGGACCGAACCATCTTGCTCTTGATCATCTTCACTTTCAGCACAATCAGCTTTCATCGATCATCATCATCTCGCATCCCCGTACAACGTCAAAGAAACCACACAACCTCTCCAGCTCTCTATCTCTCTCTACTCCGACTACTCCCCTAACTTTATCCACCCGAATCATCTCATCATGGCCGACCAACTACTCATCAAGCTCGAAAAGCAGCGGGACGAGGTCGAATCCCTCCATCAAATCGTGACCAATGTCATCCAGTATGGTACAGACATCGGTGCCTTGAAGGCAGAAAACACGTTCCTTAAGGAAGAGAACAAGAAGAAGGACGAGCAGTGAGTACCAGGTTTCCCGTGATGCGATGAATCGAAGGTGACACTGACGACTGGCCGGCTCATACGCCTCATAGGTTCCAGGCCCTGATGAAAAAACTCGAAGAAGCGACAACTGGAATTCAGACCTTGACTACCAAGGTCGATGAGCTCACCACCACTGTCGGGGAGCTCACGCCCAAGATTGACAAGTTGAATACCAAGATGAAGAACTCACTCAAAACACAGGGGGATCTGATCAACAAGGCGAGTTGCGCAACGGGTCTCGTTTCGCCAACTCTTGCTGATCTTTGAGGGTTTACGAACAGGTCGAAGAAGCTAGGCAGCGCTGGGTGAACAGGTGCATCGCCTTGATTAACCAGAAGAGGGGGATCCATAATCCCTTACGCAGCGTTGATCCTTCCAACGTCGGGGTGGATGTCGAGACCACCGGGGAGGCTGTCAAGAAGCTCGAGAGTGAGCCGCCCCTTCCGCTTGCTTCCCTCACTTCCGCTAACCCCTGTCCTCTGACCAGCTATGAAGAAGGGCGAGCTCGACAAAGTTGCCTCTCAGGTCGGCGTGCCTGACAGCCTCATCGCCACCAACAACATGGGGTCCACCAGGGCGATTGTTGAAGCCATCATCCGTGCCCAACTCTGATCGCTCCCTCGACTCCCTCCCTATAATAACGACTGTTACGACAACAAACTTGAAGATCACGAATAGCAGCGAATGAGCGGGCTCTTGTATAATGAATAGACTCGCATGACCGGATACATGATGGGACCCAGTCCGTCAAGATTGAGCAAGATCGAGCTTCGGCACAACATATGACGCCCGTCTACGAAAGGAGCCACGCTCGAACCTTCTGATCCGTTTGCATGGCATGTTCACGCATTTCCATCACATCCAGGAAAGCCAGGAAGCGATTCCGATGCCTTCATCTGTATCGAGACGGCTCTTTCTACGGATCTACGGTGAGTCGCCCGCTTTCGACTCCATCGTGATTCTCAACCAGATCTCACCCTCATTGAGCTGACGATGTGATCGTCACCCATAGCTTGTCGGATTAGGGATCACCGGCCAGGTTCTAATCATACTTCGATCTCAAGCTTCGAGGCCGGCCATCAGACTATGGGCCGGGTCACGACGTCAGACTATGGGCAGGCTCGGAACTGAAGGAGTTCTTGGTAAGCCGACCGCAATCTTCGAATCTGGAGAACGTCCGAGTCAGCATGAGGCGAACATCTCGCAGAACGATTGGTACTAATGATCACTGCCGTATCGTATACATAGGTCGTCAATACGGACGATCTTCATGCAAGCCGTTCCTGATCTCAAGGCTGGGACTCCCTTACAGATGACATCACCCTGGTCTAGACTCGTCTTTTGTCCGGCTAGCGGCTCGATCCGACGTTCCATCCGGAAGTCGACATCGCTCGGCCCAGACCAACGAGCGATCCGAAATCCGGACGCTGGTTCCCCGAGGATGTGCTCGCTATACATCGAAGGGATCGGTACGAGAAGACATGGGGTTTGCAAGTCAGAATGGCAATCTCGTGCCTACTCGAAGATCGAGCCCGGACGATATCGTGTCAGGACGCCATATACTTCGACCTTCAAGGACACATCGCTATGTCGCCAGCTCTGTCTCCAGTCCAGCAAGATGTCATTGGCCTGCTCAACGGTTAGGATGGGGTCACCTGCCGCCGACTTGAGTTCTTTGCACCTTGAACCTGGGACGAATCTGAAGATTCTGAAGATCCAGCCACGTTCCTCTGACGTCTAGCGGAAGTGGGTAATCGCAGTCGTAACAACGGAATGCCCGAACTCAGCAGTAATACACGGGACGAAAACGTTCGGACCGCTCTTTCCAAAACGCCCTCCCAAGGACGACGTGGCGTTCGCTGGAGTATCTTGCAATCCGGACACCGATCCAGACACACTCTCTCCATCCTGCCTAGCTTTCACCGTCAGCGATTTCGAGCTACGTGAGTGAGTGATTCGGACGAGGCAATATGCAGCGAGAAAGCGGTGGACTGATATACTACTTTGTCTCTGATCCTGAAATCAGTTGCACCACTTGCATCGTCATAATGGAACATTTCGCCGACATCGACATACGCTCAGGGAGCCAGTTCAAGATTGACTCATCGGTCCCGCTGGGATCAGAACTCGATCGCCAAGGTGACCGTGCTGTACCGTCCGTCGAGATGAAGTCCGGCGAAGATAAGCGGTGGAGAAGCGAACGATGGGTACTCGTCAAGAACGAAGGAATATCCGATTCTGCTGGCATTGGCAGCAGACTTGACGTGGAGCGACAGCAACCGGTGAGTTTCGTAGACGGGTTATCGATATCTCGAGGGTCATGGAGCAAGCTGCGGCTGGAGTATCTAAGGATTGCGTCGGTTCCCACACTGCTAGCTTCATTCTGTATCTTCGTACTTTCGAAGAGTTATGCACACTTGTACGCGATCGATGACAGCTGCGACCACACGGTCGGAGTCGGGGTCGTTCTAAAGTGGCAGTGACTATCGAATTGTTCATACCACCTGTACAGTGTCAAGACCGAATCTTCGCTCTTGACATCGATTGAACAGCATTGTCGATTCGTTCGAACTGCTTTGGGATACTGAAGGCTCTCGGCGTAACCTCTTCCCTTTCGACCGTTCTTCACCATCGGTGAAGGTTGCGGGTGATTGAGACTTATGCAATGTGCGAAGTGGACCGCCGAGCAGAACAGGCGTCTGGGGATCGATCTCGAAGTCGTTCTCCACCTTGACTTCGACATTCGCTCTCGTGTACAGTCACGGCTTCGAGCCACGATCCGAGTGATAACGAGGTCCTGATTCCACTGCCGAGCGCAAGGTGACCGGGAGGCATGAATATCATCGATACACTTGAGAAACTTTCGGTACATCCTATTCGGAACGAAGATGACGGCGTCCCCTAGATCGGTAGCATGCTCGAGCCGCCCCGTAGGACTGTCTCACAATCCAGTTCCCATGGTCAGCGATGTGTTGCTCGTATTTAAATGACGATACCCGGACGGACTCACGCATCTGGCCTCCGAGCGATAAGGTCTGCACTCCGCCAGGAAAGTATTTGGCGATGTAAGCGAGGAGGGCAACGATCTGTCCACGGCAGAGCAGAGTGAGTGTGCGGAAGGTGCTAACGAGGGTGTCAGCGAGGGCAGTCCAGCGGTGACCTTGTTGAGGAAGACTGACCTGTACGATAGCCCCGAGGAGCGTCAAGATCTTGCTCCGAAGCTGAAACCCGAGCAAGTCCCACGTCCGATCAGCTCTCGACGTAACATCGCCTGCGCCCAGCGTGAGGCCCGATTCGGCTCGACTCACTCCGATCGAGAAGAAGAGTGTCAATCCGAGAGATCCAAAGTATGCCAAGGAGAAGGGTAGCCGTTCTTTCGAGGCGATATGCTTGAGGTCTAGTAGATGATGATGACGCAAAGATGGGCATTCGGAGAAGGGGGTCAGATCGCCGTTTCCCTTTGTCTGAACGAGGACCGATGATGGATGAGCTGGTCGAGATGTGGCCGGAGACTCACAGTTCAATGGGCCCGTCAATACTGCGAATGCTGCCATGAACAGGATCGACCCGAGGGTGAACGACATGACGAACTTGCGTGGGTTGAGGGCGACTACGTGGAGCGAAGCCAAAGGGTCCGGTGATCAGTCACCTAGTTGATATGGGTTTTCGAAGCAAGCTCTGAGCCCGGCCGAGACTCACGTATCGGCAAGGTGAGGAAAGCTACGAAGAAGCATATGGCAGACCCGGCGAGGCATGCTAGAAATCCTAGGAACCTGGCGAGACCCATGACCCGGACGACATGTTAGTCAAGATCTCGATAGCCGAATGTACGTTCGCACCGACGTGTAGCCCGGACTTTACTCACCTCTCCCACCTCGACAAGGCCATGTAACTCTCCTCCTCGTTACTCCTCTGTCCACTTCTCAAGGGGACATACTCTGATACGCTGCTGTACATCCTCGAGAACGGGTTGGTAGACGCCGGGGCCGCCGCCTGTTGTGCTTGCGAGTCGTCATTCGTGCCTCTTGCCCATCGGAATCCTGATAGCTGGTCTCGAAATGATTGTGCGTTCGGAGCAGACATTCTAGAGTGTTACGAGTACGAAGTATGATTTGAGCGAGCTATGGATAGCGGGTGAGATCGATAAAGGAGTAAGTCGGCAGTGTAGAGCATATGCACGTCAAGGCGGACCGGGAATCTATCGCTCGCTGGTTCGGGACCGAGAACCACTCGCACTCGGCGTGTAGCATCGTCCCGACCGCACTCTTGTCATCTCCTCGTCTGCCAAACGTCAGTATCCCCGTCTACCTTGCTACAGCTGGCCATCAAACCCTCATCGCACAAATCTGAGCATGATCGCATGACAGGATCGACAGAACAACCACGACGACTGATATTCTGGATCGTTGCAGCCATGAGCACACGCTACATCGCCGATTCTGCAGACTCGCCGACGCTCTCGACGTCTGCCTTGCATCGACAACCTCAGCCCACAGACACAAATCTCATGCTGTATGTAAGCCTGTCTCTCCCTCGAGCTTGCTACATCTGGGCAACTGTATGGTTTTAAACGCCGTCGATTCTCGTCTCGGCTCTACTCGTCCCGATCGACGACAACGAAGTGATGCTTGGGGAACGACGCCAATGCATAAACACATGTCCCAAATCATTGTCGCTATGGACTCACCGTTGCTCGTATGTGTCAATCTGGGATTTCATATTGATTTGTCCTGTGGGTACCAGCCCTCCAATGCCACGATCATCCGCCAATGCGATGTCAATGCTCGCCGTCGCCGTCCTCGTCCCCGTCGTCCTCGTCCCCGTCGTCCTCATCACCCTCTAGCAGCACTTCCACGTCGCGACTAACGGGGTTTACGCCGCAAGGGCCTCTCGTTCTCGGGTCCCAGGATTGGTCCTGGCTTTTCCCGGCCCTGAATTCGACTTCTTCGTCTTCGAGAGGGTCGTCCCGAGGCGCCGGCTCTCCCCTTGGCAGGGCGGTGCACCAGACGACTTCATCCACCCGATGCCTCCACCCTCGCAGCATGTCAAACTGCGCAATGTCAGGATAGACCTGGGCAGGCTCGTAGTCCCGACTCGCGCAACCACGGCGGGATCTTTGACGAACCGCATCTCACGCCCCGTCTTTCGCAAACACATCATCACTTCCCGTTCCGTGAGAGGGAAATGTGTTGTCGCCAGGATCGACGGCGGCAGGGTCTGGTCGGGCGGGGCCTGGGGGTTTGCCGACGAACCTGTAGCGGCGGTCGGCCTCGAGCCGTAGAACATTTCAAGCTGGAAACATAGACCGTCCGGCGTAAGCTTGGGACCCTTTCTGATATCGCTCCGGCGCTACTTACCACTTGCAACAGGCGGGCCATTTTGTTGGCCATCGGATGATCGACGTTCCAAGCTTGCTGGCGGAAGACGTTGATCCCCTCCTCCAACATCATCCACATCGGAGCTTCCACCTCCGTCCAACTCGCCGGCAGGTCCCGACCCGCCTCACAATCCTCGCCCAGCCTCCCACACCGGTCGCACTTCCGGGTCGCCTTAGTGGAGTCTGCACGAATGGGCGGTTGGCGGCGTAAGGAGACCCCTCCCTGGACCAGGAGGTCAGGCCATCCGTCTGGGGCGGTCTTGTGGTTGGGGTCGGGCGGGCCGGTACCCTTATTGGTCCTGCAGAAGGTGGCTAGAGGATTGACCGCTTCGGTATATGCCTTGAGGCAACCCACACAGGCTCGTCTCCATCCACCTCTCATCGCCAGCTGTCGAGAGGGGTTGTCAAGCCAAGTCAAAGTCAGCCACCCACCGTCGCCGCCCTTTAGAGTAGTGGCCACTTCTCACTCACCATCTCTGCCGCCTGGGAATGTCGCGACATCGTCGCAATGTGCCGAGCACGCTCGACCAACAACTCTTCCAAGCCGGACTCCCGGGTGTTGAACCGTGTCACTACAACAAAGCAACCACAAACATGCTCAATTACCTTTGAGAAGGATACAACGCTGGGGTACACAAACTCACTCATCTCCTCGTCCCATGCTTTGATGTGCCGACCACGTGCTTCCCCCCTTGCCATCCTCTCCGCCTTTACCCTCTTCTCCCGCTCGTTGCGCTCCCCTCGGTCCTCATCGCTCTTTCTCTTTCGGTCACCCCCCGGCGTACCGACGAAGCCAGCGTATTGCCCGACGTTCTTCATGTCCAACCCTGGGACGGCTTTGGGCGTTCTCGTCGGAGTCGCCGGCTGTTGAGGGGTTGTGGGCTCAGAGGCTATCACACGAAAGATCAAGATCTTGAATCAGTCAACAACCTCACAACCGTCGTGCCGCAAGACCCGGTCCAACTTACCATTTCCCTTTTGCCCTCGCGTCGATGGGGTACCTGAAATAACAACCAGGCCACCCATCAGCAACAGATATGGTCGAACTTGTCGGATTTGGGGTTAGGGGTTATAGGGCTCTTCGACCCCCGGGTATGAAACACACTTTTGAGAACCGCTCATCCCAGCGCTCCCAGGGTTGTACCAATGGATAGAGGCACCTTTGGACAGTAGAAATGAACTATCCAATCTGTTGTTGGACCCTTGTTGTGACTGCTACGGGTCAAAAACACGTCAAAATGACCTCGAAAGTCAAAAAAAAAAGTTAAAGTTCCCAAAAAATGAAATTGTCTCAAAGTTCCAGAACACTATCCCGCTTGGTTGGACCATTTTGAAGGTGAAATGACTTAGAAATCACGCTGGGCAGATTCTGGGTGAGGTTGTTGACGTGACTTGAGCATATCCATAGGAGGTCTGTCCCGCGCGAGGGTGGCCACGTCATCAGGCTGTCCCGCGCGGGGGGGGCAGAAAAAAGTAAACAAACAGCCTGTCACCGCGCGTGCAAGTCACCCCTCGTCCATCAACCTATTCTCACCATCCACATCAGCCATCCTTCACACAGCTGTCATGTACATGCTAATCAGTCAAGAAGTTCATTCTAATCATTACATGTGTATTCTCCAAACAGCAGAGTTGTTTGCCCAAGTGGTTGTCTGTCACGTCACGCGTGGGGCATCTGAATGACAAAGTAAACAACATGAGCTCAGCAGTCACCGCAGACACCGCAGACACCGCAGACACCCGTCACTCACCAGACCCGGGTGATGTGGTGAGCAGGGTACAGGTTCTCATAGTGGTTGTTACTGAGATAGAGCCAGAGGCTCTTGGTATGCTCTGGCTGACCATGGTGTCTCCAGAAAAGACCCCCGTCCACCCGTCTCTTCAGGACTGAGATTCTGACCTTGTAACACGCGCAGATGGCCCTGATCTCTGGCTCATCACCCCACTCACCCGACTGGCTCATTCTCTGCCAGTACTCCCTGAATGCTGCTGCCTGTCCTTCTTGTCCATATTCTATGAAGGGGAGGTAGTCTTCATAGTGCACACGTATCCATTCAACAGCCTCCTCCCTGACCTTGGCTGCGGTGTACCCCTGCCCGAGGCCAAATGCTATGGCCGAGAACATACAGTTGCCGTCCTTTGCAGTGTGACTTGTATGGTATGCTGGGGGGTTGGAACCTCTGATCAGACTGACTTGATCTGAGTAGATGGGTGTGTGAGGAAGATGGGATGGTGATGGAGCAGGTCTCTTGGGTGTCGTCCTGAATGCCAGTAGTTTGGCCTTTTGGGCGAGAAAGTTCTGACGCGCGGCAATCAACTTGGCACGCTCGGGTGTGATCCTATTGACTGGAGGTGGTAGAGCAACCATAGGCAGACCTTCCATTGGAGGGAGACCAAGCAGATGTCCTGGTACTTGTCCCGTTGCAATGAGATTGGCAAACCAGATGTAGGAGTTGCCTGCATTGAGGTGGTGCTTGCACGTCCACTCGGCACACCTCATCCTGAAAGGACCCCAGCCGTAGATGTTGTAGGCGTGCTTGCTATCCTTCTGACAAGGGATGTCACGGTTGGGATGATGCTTTCTCAGTTCTTTGACCAGATCCCTGGTACCTGCATCTCCCGGGTAGATCCTGTTGAGCTGTAGCAGGACTTGGGAAATGACAGTGTCGGGTACCTTGGTGGTGACACGCTGGCTGTGGTGTGTTCCTGTACGTGCTTCATCCGGCTGAGGGATGTCTGGATTTCCCTGTTCCCCTTCAGCACCTTTGCCTCTCCACCATGCAGCCTTGTCACCGGCTTTGGTGACCTTGTATCTCCCTGCATTCCACCCAAAAGAAGCCAGCACGTCTGCGGTGACTTGTTTCTGGAGCTTGGTCACCGCACGCGAGTTGTCTCCTCTCAGTATCTTGAGTGAAGACGCTCTCTGTATTATCCAGTTGGCATTTAGGAGTAATGCATCCTTCCTGGTGACCATCATGTTGACCTTGGGACCAGCACCACCGGGAGTTGGGTTGGTCCAGAATCCTATCTCGGTCAATGGACTTCTGTCCATCCACATGCACGCGGCAGCCAGCGTTGGTGCAGGCACGGTGACCTCAATCCTGAACCCTCCAATCTCTTCTTCCGGGACTTGTGACAACAGCTGTACCATGTTGATAGATGCCTTAACCCGCTTCTGGACAGCTTTTAGTGTGGTCAAGATCTCTCCCTGCAGTCGGCTGTTGTATGACTTGATGACGTGGACCAGCCGGGGATAGATTTTGACCTTGAGCGTGGTGTCATCCCAGACCACAGTGGTCTGTACCGAGCCAAAGTCCCTGGAAGCTGGAGACAGCATTGGGAAGTGCTTGGTACCCGGGGTGGCACCCTCTCCAGGCCTGAAGAGGATGATGTAGGGAGATTGGTAGGTGACCCCAATGTCCCACTCGTTGGTATTCCGTTGGGGATGTGCCCTGTCCTCGGGCTCAAAACCCCTCATGAGTGTTGTATGGATAGGAAGCTTCTGACCATACGCCTTGTACCTGATGGTAGGGCAGCCAGCTTTGGTGAGACAGGATGCCAGGATGGTGGTAGGGATGTAGGCACTCCCGTAGCTGGAGACCCAGGGGTTCTTGGCTGGGTTGATGGTACGTGTCTTCTTGAGTTCTGTGAAGAAGGCATCCTTGTACCGGGGGTCTATCCAGAGCTGGTAGCATGACTCTGCCAGTAAGAGCCACTCTGAGAACTCGTGGGATCTATCTCCCGGCTTGGTCCTCTTGATCCTAATAGTATGCCCTCATGCCCCGCTATAGCAGCGCACGCATTTTGTTAGGGACAGTTGTCTCGC